CAAGTCAATCCCTGAAGTCAGTTAGAGTCAAGTCCATTAGTACATCTATGATGAAATTCAACAGAAATGGGCATCCTTAACGGGGACTACTGGTTGTCATCACTTCAGATGAAAACTCTCCTTCGGCTCTCACCTGGCTGGTTGCCTGCATGAATTCGAGTAGACTGCCTTGATCAGCGGGCGATGTATTTTCTAGGCAGTCCCTCCACGACAAAACATTGTCATAGTACCTCTCGGTCGACGGAACCGAATACACAGAGCTGTATGCACTACCTTACTCTAGCACAATATATAAGAAATAATATTTGCGGAGAGTATCGACTGAAAGTGACCAGCATGTTTCATTAAATAACCACAGAGAACCTTAGTAATCGTTGGAAGTGCCTATTTACAATCGTTGTCTCAGTCATGCAAGTTAGTCAGTCATGCTGTTTGCTAACCGATCGTTCACACACACTGTGTTTTAAGTGTTTCTTGAAGTCATGTCCATTAAAACTCTCTGTGGATTATTCACACTCATACTGCCTTTATGTGCGTTGCTGTGCGTCGGTGGCACAGTGGTTAGGACTCTCGCCGACCATGCACATGGTCCGAGCCTCTGCCGGCGCACACCCGATATCTATGGTCGGCCTGAATTTGGGCTACCGATATCCATGCTGAAAATGCCATACTTGTACTGAAAATACGGTGTGGCATCAAGCTGTAACCAAAATTAAAAAAAATAAAATAAACAACATCAGTTGTGACATGACACAACATACCATCGTTTACTGGCACTGACAGTATCTATGCCCCGCACGCTTATATTACCTTTCCCAACAATCAAACTGAAGACTTTTTGAGGTTATGAAGCCAGTCTAAAAAGTTAGGGAATTCTCTAACTTCTTTCAATTCGCTCACTATATAGCACAACCAACTGCCAAACCGATACATAAACCAGCATCATCGATAAGCACCCACGCTTCACCCTAATAATAAACATAGCGGATTTCACCAGCCATGGGCTACTGAAAAAGGGCTATACCATCCTGAGAACGATGTTGAAGGTAGTTTGTAGGACTAGTGGTGTAATTCTCAGTCGGTTCGTCACTACAGTAGTAGAGAGGTATCTGAATACATGCGAAAAATGGTCTAGAACCATACTCTCCGACTTCCAACACCCCTTCTGTTCCCAACTCTCTCCTTGTATCTCGTCAGTACAGTACAGGAACTCAACGATACCATATTTGACCCATGTTCTAAGTGACAGAAACAATGTTAGGCGCGAAACCTATGACTTACTTTGTTGTTAATAACATAATTTTAGGCTCTTTTATTTCTCTCTTATTTTGTATTCTATAGTGAACTTCTTAAACACACCCAAATTATTAACATTGGTTTACTTTTTTGCACTTTACTCTATTCCTTCTTTTGTGTATCTACTGGTTCCGACTATACTACACTATGAGTATTACAAAATTGTCCTATCATTAACCATCATGTAATATTAGTTTTGTGGTTGTTGTTTTTTTGTTCGGCAATGTTAACCGACAGTCTTGGTGAAAGCCATTTTCACCATCTTAAAATTTTGTATTCTGCAGGATTACTCACACTACCACCACAAACACTGCATTGGACCTGACAATAAAAAACCCTGAAATGTTATTTTATGATTGTTTAGTGGTGTTTCAACCAAATTAACTGACCTTCCTGGCGATGATTATTCTTAAATATCATTTCATAAATTCTTGTATGACTATAGCTTTACTGTCACCATGCATAATCATATCACAGCTTCCACTACTCAATACTGAGATATTACTTATTATGCTGTTTATTTTCCTTTCTACCTCTTGGTATTTTTCGCATTTTTTATATTTACTTTTTGAAATACTCCTTTTAAATGTTTGATAAAATTAGATGAAAATATTGTAGATATGTGCTGAAAATTCCACACTATACCACTAGTACTGTTTCTGGAATAAAGCAAAATTATTATTATTATTATTCTAACAAGATAAGCATTATCCACCACCCAACAGTTCAAATAACACCAGTGGAATCATCACACTCAGAGATTTCGATGAATTTCCCTACAGGGTTTCGCGTCACGAATCTATCATCAGATGCGAGCAGTTCTATGGGCAACAGATGAAATCCTGATTGATACATGTCGTGAATTAGCAGAAGTTAGAATTCATGGACCATTGGATCGGGTCCCAGTGGCTTAATGGTATACGAGCTCGCCTTATAACCAGAAGGTCCTGGGTTCGAATCCCGGTGGGTGCGTACTGATGAAGAGTCCCAAACTGGGACGAAACGGCTGTCCAGTACTCCATGCAGGTTTTCCAATGGTTCTCTAACTAATGTCAGCTCATGATGAAAATCCTGTAACCAATCAAATCCCTACAAACCAACACTTGAACATGGATAACTATTTCATAATCACGAATACCCATAATAAAAAAATCAAAACACAATTAGATCATAAACAGAATACATTTTTCTTTTCTTTTCTTTGTTTTTCCTCCTTTCATGTAAAATTGTCTTTGATGTCTGTGAATGCGTGAGTGTGTGTGTGATGTGCATAGGTTGGTATAAATAAGAGCGGGGGGAGGGGCCAAGAGAGAGCGGGAGAGTTATGCAAGTTGTTGTTTTTGCATGTTCTTCTTAGAATTTTTCTTTTCCAAGTACTATTCGTCATTGTCGTCGTGGTGGCATAGGAACTACTATTGTCCATATGTATATGTGTAAATAAGGCTGAAGCGGGGAATTATTTATAGACAAGAAAAAAAGGTAAGTGCATGTGTGTTACGTCACATTTGTAAAAATTAAAAAAAGAAACACCATTATAATATATCTAAATAAACAACAACAGCAATAACAATATTGAACATTGAAAGAAAAGGCCGCAACAACAGCAGCAGCAAAGGAAGAGCTGGAGAACATCATCGTCTGATCACTCATTTATGCTTACACGACTATAATCACTCCGCCCCCCAGCAACCAGTACTCTCCTAGGGAAGTTAAAGTAACCAAAAAGTAATACCCAAACCAAATATCAAATTATTGGTAGGCAAATCGTAGGCAAAGTCCCACTGAAAAGGAAACAGAAGACACGTGAACAGAGTGAGAGAGAGTCAGCAAGGAGGGGGGAGGAGAGAGGACAACAAAACCAACCGAAACTAAACCGTGAACTATATATATATGCTATGCTATTGTCACAGCAAAATAAATGGAGAAACCCCAATGTGTAAGAAAACTCCAATTTTTATTATTCTTATTATTATTATATACCTAAAAACGCACGCACGCACACCCACGCACAGACAGACAGACATGCGTAAAAAGGCGACGAAACACAAAAGAGAGGAAAACAAAAACACGCACACACATTCAAAAACATTTTTGAATGCACAAAATGCATGCGCACACTGTCACGTTAAGTTAGTTGTTGAAAAAAAGATACAGAAAAGAAAAAACGGAAAAGAAGAAGCAGAAGTCTCTTCATTCTGCTTGATAGAGATTACAGTGTTGTTATAGTTGGACGAAGCAGGACTTCTGTATGTGTATTTGTATATGTGTGTGGGCGTGTGCGTACGTGCATGTGTGCCACATAACAATCTTTTATTTGTGAAAAAAAGAAGAAGATTGAGACACCAATTGATCAAAACAATAGAGAAACGATGTAGAATAAGTGAAAATACAACAAAATGGACCGGAGACAAGAAAAAAATAGCAAAAAGAAGGGGACAAAATAAGTACCCGGAGATAATAAGTGGACAATACATGAACATTTATTTGAACAGCATAGCAAACTATCACACATACACGTGTGGAACAAAGGATGGTAGTAAGTGTAAGCAAGCGAGTCAGTCAGATGAGAGAACAATACACAATTATTATTACTATTATCATCAAAAGAAGCTCCATTATTTCTCGCCCCCCTCCTCCCCCGCACTCTTTTCTCCACATTAACGCCTACCTACACACAAAAGCAGCTGAAGAAGGGAGGCGGCGGTGAGGAAATAAACAAAAAAGAAAAGCCTAGTGAAGAAACGCAGTTACACACACACACACACGCACAACACCATTCATGTGTAGTGAAAAATACGAAAAATTTGAAAAAAATAAGATATGATGATGTGTACACAGACACATACGCACGCACGCGCACGCGCACGCAACAGTCTTCGTTTTCCAAGCCGACTGTAACTAGTACTCACTCTAGCGGACCTCCTCCTCCTCTTCTCATGTGATCACTTTTGTGAGAAAATACATACATGTAAAAAAAGAACAGATTATCGTGTTGATAGTTACCTTAGAGAAGTAATAGTTACTCGATTAAACAGTAATAATAATAGTATTGATAGCAGCAACATTAATTATTGTTTACAACATAAGTGTGTAGGGGTTAAAGGTTAATCGCGATCTATTTGAAAGTCTTCTCACATCAATTTTATTAGGCCTACTCATTTCATGCACTGATTGATTGATTTGTCGGAACAATGACAATAAGAATAGTAATAATAATCATTGATAATTGCATAATATATATGTATATGTGATGACTCAATTGCATTTGATAAACATCTCTTTCGTTCATTTCTTATGTGTATAGGGCAAAAGAAGAACCGCCCACGCACGCACGCACGCAAACACACATACACACGCACACACACCCAGAGACACAAACTCATTGAAGAAAATCTGACACAGTGAGATGGGAGTATGTGTGTGTGTATCAGATTGAGTAATTCAATAATTAGTAGTACAGTAGAAAGCCAATATGCACAGATATATATTGATTGGGCGGATATGCATTCATATAAATAAATCTACATTCATATTTAGATAGCCAAACTTGGGTGTGTTATAGTAAGAGAATGAGAGAGAGAGAGAGTGAGAGAAAATTGTACACTTGGTTATGTATGCATGTTGTGTATGAGTACATATATATATATAGACGAGAGAGAGAAGAAAGGGCATATTCTCTTTGATGAACTATTTGATACACAAAATTATAATTTACGATTTCGTTGTAAATTAGTGCTCAACTCCTCTTCTTGACGTAGATCACGGCGCCATAATGTCACTTTATCTATAAAAAAATAATAAACAAGCAAACAAACAAACAACCATTGAATACCACCGTCTTTAGCGATAATGCATACACAAACAACAAAATTCCAAACATCATTCTATATGGCTGAAGAGACAATCAACACAGTGACTTTCAGGAAAGCTTTGTGTGTGTGTGTGTCAGCGGGGTTATTACACTTCCCGGTTGGTCACACCGTAGAAGTTGATTTGTCCTTAAAGTATCTGAAACAGTAGGGGGAGGGGTGACATTAGGGTTGATGATGACGACCGCAGAGCCCGCCCAGGGACAAGTCACACACATACACACTACTTTGAAATGGTTTTTGTAGTTGTGTCCGTATTAAGATCGTACAGTCGCCTATGCGTCACCACAAGGTAAATCAGATCAACCAATATATCCCGACAACAGAGAGATATCATAGCTGGTTTATTGGTGTCTCAGAGGGAAACATCTTATGTTACATATATCTATCCTTGCCAGCGGTACAACTTCATCTTCAGACCCTCAAAAAATAGTGTGGGCAACCCTACATAGACACACATACACACAAATGATGGTAACAGCTTTTAGCCTAACCGCCATCTAAACGACATTTCTGGCATATTAGCACACCTATAGGAATATCAGTTCCATCCGGTGTCACTTGTCGGGTCATTGCGACATGGTAAGCCTGAACAACACGTCAGGTAGGAGGCAATCGCTAGGAAATACCATGGACCTGACCCAGGTTTCAACCTTGTTGGATTGAAAACTCAGTTACCTGAAACAGGTATTTCATGTATCATCAGGATATGAGCTAAACACTTTGTAGTATCATAATACTACCAACTTGACCACGTTGCTAGTCGAGTAATTTAGCCAATGATCCTCTTGTGAACAAAATCAAATTTTATTGGCTAGTCACCTAACTTAGTGAAGATGTGGTTCCCTGACTTAATTCTTCGAATTTCACCTAGAAGATACCACCAGGTTAGAGTGCCATGACATCAGGAACGCATTCTGATTATTATTCTCTTAGGTTCCGAGTGGAACATAGGGCTTCAACAACACATCTCCACTTCATTCTATTTTTGCCGTTCTCTTCAGCTGAATCCACAATCGCCCATAATCTCTTATCTCCTCCTAGCACGATTGCCTCCATGCCACCCTCGGACTTAAGCCCAACCCTGTCGTTTTCCATTCGGGCTCCACTCGAGGCATTGCCTAGCGCTCGATGTCAGTTGACCGGCCTAGTCAGGTAATTCAATCCATCTCCATTTTTTTCTCCATATTTGTTGAGCGATCGGTTCATGGTTGGTTTCTTCATCGTCAGAGTTTCTTCTTACCAATTCTTTCTGCCCTGCCATCTGAACTTCAATAGAGAGCCAGTGAAGGCAGATGTTGAATAAAAATCTGCAGCAACCTGCTTTTCTAGACGCACAGTGCAAGTTTCTGACCCGTATAAAGGAACTGACTGACTCACATATATGTTGTAAATCCGAATCTTGTTCTTCATGCTGGCTGGCTGAGTACAGCAGAAGATTTCCAAACCGATTTTAGATTGATAGAGGTGTATCTTGCCTTTCCGATTCTGGCTAGCTGGCTTTGACATCTTCATCCGTGCTGTCCGACTAACTGTTGTTGAAACAATGCTGACTGCCTAGATGAGTGAAGGAAGTGACCTCTGTCAAATTCCTCCCGTTGATAGTGATTGGTGCTGTTTGTGTGTTGGTGGTGGTGATGCGTGGGTATCTTCATCACCTCCGTCTTCTCTATGTTCACCACTTGAAGTCCTGTCTTCGCTGCCTGCCTACTTATTCAGCCAGTTTGTTGGTTTTCACCTGCCTTCAAGTCTTTGACTCTGTGTGACAATAAACATAAATCATCCACGCGCGAAATCCAGATCTTCTAGAGTCTCCTTATCGGTCGTCCAGCGTATTCCTGTCTCCTCGCTCCCATTGCACAGTCTGACGCATAATCCAGTCCACCACAATTAAGAATATCATCGGTGATAATAGGCAGTCTGAATTCACCTCAAAAGCCTCGCTGAGTGTCTCATTGTGGATCACCTGACACATGGCTGACATTGTCATATAGCCAACTGTTGAATGAAGTTGATGAAGATTTGGGTTACTGCACGCCATAGTGTTGAAGCAGTTTCCAAATTACTTCTCGGTCAACGCTGTCTGTCGAAGGCCTTTTCGAAGTCAATGAAGTTAAGGTACAAGTTTGACCACCATTCTATGCTTTCTTCAATGATGATGATGATGCGTGGAGTTACAATTTGATCCACACATAATTTGCCTTTCCTGAATCCAGCTTGTTCCGGGCTGGTGGAATTCTGCATCCAGTGCCAGCACATTCTGAACCAATTTCTAATTAATTAATTAAACATATATGACAAAACAGTACGAAAGATAAGGAAATCCCTTCACAACTTACCCCTTAATGAGGATAAAATCTTGATTTGTTTGCCTAGTAAATATTCTAGACGGGCACTATAGTCTGTAAATGAAATACAGCAAAGATATAAAATAGAGATAACATATTCTAGTCAGTTATACTTAATTAGTTAGTAAGTATATATGAGTATGGAATAAAGATAAAAGGACATAGAGTCACGAACATCTGCATGTATAAGTAAACCACCAGCTTGGTTCAAATACACTAAAATTATCCCTGGGAAGCGCATGCACTATACTGTCTGAAACTAAAAGTCAAAGATAAGAACATAAAATTCCAATTAAGACTAACATTGCTGCTTGTTGAAGTAGGATGGTGGCAACAGATACCAGCAGTCATCTTAGACGATAGAGATTCATAACCACCTTACTACAGGACTGCTCGACACGGAAGTCGGCCACCCCACCTAAGGAAAATAGAAAACCCTGGTCCATGAGCTCAAGAATCCCATTGGGAAAGAATTATGTATGCAATTGTTCTGGTTACCGCTAGTCACAGGAGTTTAACTTCTACGGCTATACTGATATATTGTGGATCAAAGGCTGTGGGTTGTAATCTCCTGGGTAAACCACCTGATTGTGTTTTACCATCCCTGCAGCAGTATCTCAGAACTCATATGCACGTGGCGTATCTTTTGGTGCCCATATTGTAAGGACTTTTATGTTTAAATAAATAGTCGGTTTGATAACCAGTTGACATCAGTTAGAGAACCACAGAACACCAAGGGGTAATGGACAGTCGCCATCTAGTCAGCCTAGTTTGGAACTCTCCAGCAGTAAGCATCCACTGAGGTTCGAACCCAGGACGTTCCGGGTACAAAGCGAGCTCGTTGACCATTCATTCAGACACTGGGACCCAATACAGTATGGGCCCATGAATTCCAAATACTGCCAATTCATAATATTTTTTATTTTTATTTTTGATTACAGCTTGATTCCACACCGTATTTTTTGGTACAGGTATGGAATTTTCAACATGTGATATCGGTAGCCCAAATTTTGCAGGCGCGCGACCGCCAGTCAACGTCAAAGGCGAGTAACTGATCTCTTCTACCTGAATTAGCGGACCCCACTGGTGGTTGGTTACGACTTCTCACTCGTAGTGAGCCATTGGATTAGGCTTGTCTTGTAACTGGAAGGTCCTGGGGTTCGAAACCCAGTGGGTGTATACTCCTGATGAGTCCCAAACTAGGACGAAACAGCTGTCCAGTTCCCCCTGTTGGTTTTCAATGGTTCTCTAACTGATATCAATCCATGATCAAACTTGAAAAACACAAAGAATTAATAGTTTTCTCTTGACAACAAAAATCCAACGATCATAAATGATGACTCACATATTTTTCACAGTCATACAGTGAAATCAAATACTGATTAGCAGCGGATTAGCACGTCAAATGAAATAGTATAAACACTAATTAAAGATTTATTTTAAAAAATATTCAAGCTTAAGCAACTAACTAACTGACCTTCAACATCGAATTCCACTTGATTCGATATTTTAAACAATGAATAGTGCTCTTTAGTCCAATCAGACATCGACTGTAGAAAAAAAATTGATCGAAGTGAAACATAAAGAAAGCAAAAAGTTAAATAAACCATTTAAACTGTGTGTGTGTGTGTGTTAATGTGCAAAAATCACGAACAAATAAATGACAATGAACTGAAAACTAAACTGAGACAAGCATAGATCTATATGCGATCGAGATCAACAGTATGCATATATACGCTTAAAATGCAACTGCCAGCATCATTCTCTACACGAATCGGAAACATCTCAATGTATAGGACATGTAGAGAAAGAATTAAAGTCAATAGGTTCCAGGGTTCGAGTCCCCCACCACCAAGTGGAGCATGAGGCTTCCCCCAACTGCACTCAGTTTTCTGCGATCCATTTCAACTGGCTACGAGAATGGTGACAAGCTTTCATTCCCCATTTCACATGATTTTCCCCCATGTCAGCAGCTTAGGACGCCCAACCCATTGCTTTTCATTCAGTTCCTACTACTAGAGGGCCTACGTTGTGATGTCATTTGAACCATCCCCCCTCAGGTGTATGTCAAATCCCTCAACATTTTCTTCTGTATACTTGTCAGGGGATAGAATTTTCGGCTGGTTCACTGCCCACTGACCAGAGTTCCTTGTTGTTGTTGAAGACATGAAAAGGTTGACTGTTTTTGATCATAGATGTCTACGATCTCTTTCTCACGTTAGGTGGTATAATAAGGTAAGTAATGTTGACGTTAGGCGTAGAGTGTTGGGCAAAGAGGGAAAATCAATCGAAGAGGCTATAAAGTTACATAGATTGAGATGGCTAGGTCACGTGCTGCGCATGCCTAACCATCGCCTCCCCCGACGGACGGGCATTACTAGCTGATATATAGGTGCAGGTTGGAAAAGAGTAAGTGGTGCCATACCAAACAAAAACATGGCATCAATCCATGAAATCCTTGACAGTTAAACTGAGTCAGGTAGGGAGATGCAGACTTCCGGGTTGGGGCCCGCCCTCGGGACTCTAAGAATCAATGGCTGGAGACAATAGGTGACATGGCTCAAAATCGTTGTCAATGGCTTACGCAGATGTATTCAGTCTCTGTAATCTTTCATATTCCTTTCTACCATTACTCATTCTGTTTCACTCTTATACTTGTCAAAACTCTATTGATTCTCTTCACTCATTTTCTTGTCTACCTTTGTGTGCTATTTGGAACGTGGCAACTCGAACTGCTGCACTTCGGTGCCAAGTTCTATGTTGAATCCAGACAGACAGACAGAGTTCCTTGTTGTTGAACCTTTCTGGTCGGCCTTCTGATATTCACACAATATCGAGGTTAAGGAAGAGGAGAAGCACTGATGACAGTCTGCAGTATAGTCTGTCGGGAATGCCTTTGAGTACGTTTCATTATTCTTGTTTCATTCCTAATCCAAGATTCTTTGTTGAATACTCACTTTTAGAGAGTATGAATGGATAGTGGGTTGTGCGTCGGTGGTTGAACAGTAGAACGCTCGCCAACCATGCACATGGTCCGGGGCTCGATCCTTGCAGCTGATGCCCTCCTACACCACATTAAGTCAGCAGTAAGACCGATCAAGAGGGAAGGGTGAGCATGAGGCTACTAAACCCACCTCGGTAAAAATAAACACCACTGCTACTGCAACTTCAGAGCTGAAGCTTGAAGCCACCCTAAGCTCCATTGGGAATGTCAAGAAATAAAATTAAATAATAATCAATAAAATGAATAGCGCGGTTATGACACACACACACACACTGACAATATTCAAATCATCAGTAGAAGACTTACATCACAAAGAGCTTTATGATCGTCACAGATCTCTTCTTCCATACGTTCAATATGATCAATAACTTCATGAAAATGAAAAACTTCCTCGGGAACTTCACCTTCCTAGTTAATCCCCCGGGTCACCCAAAGAAAAAATTAAAAAACAAGAGTGGTTTTAAGGCAAATAAATAAAAATAATAAATGATACTGTAACGAGTCGATAGACGTTTTGTCAGGGAACAAAAAACAACACAAGAACAACGAAAGTGTGCCAAGATAATATGATGAGGTCATTTTCTACTGGTTCGTGGAATCCTCCTCTCTCCCAACTGCCTACAACCTGAACAATACAAATGATATGCAACCTTGAAAAAACAAAGTTGAAGCATGCGATCAACGAAACAACTTCTTATTGTCAATATGTCACAGATGACACATTTATAGTGTGGTCATGCTTGCCTACCCTACTCGGATTATTATTCAACGATGCATATGCCAGGTCTCTGCCAATTGATATAAGAATAGAACTTGTGCACAGTGGTAGAGTATAATTAAATGGTTGGGTAAAATTCATTTTGATAAAGTTCTAACACAGTGTTGTACAGTAATATTTACTGATGACCACGTTTTGAGCCCAATTCATTACTGCAGCTCATTATTATTATTGTTTCCTTTAGTTCCTAGAGGAACATAGGGCTTCACAGCCGCACGCCTCCATTGCATTCGGTTCTCTGCCTACGTTTTCACCTGGCTTCACATCTGCCCACATGCTTCCATTTCCTCTTCACATCACCTCATCCATGTCACCCTCGCATTGACGACCAACTCGCCGCTTCCCTTTCGGGTTCCACTTGAGGGTCTGTCCTGTGATGTTACTTGATGGTTTTCTCAGAGTATGGCCAATTCACCTGCATTTCTTCCAGCTTATTTGTTTCACAATCGGTTCCTGCTGAGTTGGTTCGCTCCCAGAGATCTCTATTGCCGACCTTTACTGGACATCTGATCTTGAGTATTGAGCGAAGACAACTGTTAATGAAGGTCTGTAGTTTGTTTGAGGTGCTCTTTATGACGCACCAAGTCGCTGATCTGTATGGTAAGTAGCACTGACTTTACATTAAAGTTGAAAATCTGGGTCTCATTTTCATGCTGAGTAGGGTTGTTGACCTCCACACAGATTTGAGAGTAATGAAAGCTTGGCTTGTTTTCCCGATCCTTGCTTTGATATCCTCGTCAGTTCCGTTGGCCTGAAGTTGAAACGATGCTTCCCAGGTAGGTAAAAGAGGTTATTTCTTTCAAATTTCTCCCATTTATGCTGATTTTTTGTCTGTTGTTGTTGCTGTTGACCAGGAATCTTCATCATCACCTGTTTTCTCTGCGTCCACCTGAAGGAAGTCCTATCTTTGATGCTTCTTCTATCGCCAACTTGTCGCTTTTCACTTACACATCTTCCAGTTTGTGGGAAATCAGACACATATCATCGACGTAGTCCAGATCATTCAAGTTTTTTGTGTGGGTCCATTTTATACCTGCCGCTGTCTGTCGCATTATCCAGTCTACAACCCGCAATCAGGAAAATCATTGAAGATAGTAGGTAGTCAGCTCGTCTTACTCCCGTCTTCTCTTCGAAGGATTCGGTGAGTTTCACGTTGTGGATTACTTGGAATGCAGCAAGAGAATATACTCTACAGCAATACTCAAGGAAGAATTTATGATTCTCGAAAAGATGTTGAAAAACAAAGGTTACACCCTCAGGAATTCATGCACAAGTATGAAAGATGTAAAGGGTCAAATGTCACACAAATCACAATGGGGAAAAAGCCTATCTTCCTTCACCTCGACTTTAAAGGTGACAATATTGCAGGAATAGTCAACAGAAGATTGAATGCGTCGCTAACCAGAGCCTACTTGGCAGCCAAGTTGGTTCCTGCTTATCGGACAACATGCTCATTTTTCGTGCAATCAACCAAAGGTCGGCAGATACTCTTCTCGTGTTAACTTTAACTGTGTATGCAAATTTACGTGTATGTGGGGAAGCAGTTACATTGGGAGAACAGAAAGAAGAAGGGCACACCTCCGATTTTCTAAACATATACTACAAAAAGCCTGTGTCTCAAGGGAACAAAGGTCTTCAGCAGTATCATTACCAGCCGTCTCCTTGATACGGGTCATGAGGTGGAAATCGCAAAATCCCCTAACATTATCAATAGACAAAAAAGCTCAATTCCCCTCAAGTTTGCCGAAGCAATCTCCACCAAACGCCTGAAACCCGATTTATGTGTGTGTTCAGAAAGAAGCGGTGATCAATCTTTCCTTCACATGGTAACTGGATATCTTTATTCTCTATTTCGTTTGATTACGTAGTCTTTGGCTCTAACCTCACCCTCCCTCCCCTTTGATATAGTGTAATTTTGCTCGTCTCTTGTTACTGTGATTTGAGTTGAACTCAGTACACACTGTTACCTAATTTATTAGTCATTCATCATCTTACGCATCTCTCTTCTCTATTACGTAACTCATTTGCCATTGCATGCATACATTTACTTTGTTTAAATTTGAACTGCCTGTGTAAAAACTATATAAGCGTAATTTTCTGAGCACTGTTCACTAATTTTTGAACCTTCTGCTGTCAACTGACATCATAAAAAATTTGCAAGTATTTTATAACTTTTCTGTGCATAATAATCACCAGTGTGGTTATCTTTTAATAATAATTGTAGTGTTACAGCAACAAATAAACGGTTTTTTCGAGTCATAATGAATGGGTCCCAAGTGGAACATAGGAATTCAACAACACATCTTTTTCCTGCTGTCCATGATTAACCATGCTCCCTCAACTTCTCCTCCTCCCCAACACACCATGTCCTCCGTGTCGCCCCCGGAATATAACACCCAACTCGTCGCTTTCCATAGAGATTCCAATCGAGTGATAACCTGCATTGTGCACGATGTCATTCAACGGCTTCTTCAGTGACGTGTGTCCAATCCATCTACATTTTCATCCGCATATTTTCTGAGCAATCGGTTCTTGATTGGTTTGTTCATTGCCAGAGTTTCTTGTTGCTGATTCCTTCCAGCTGGCCAGCCATTCGATCTTCACTGGGGAGCAAGTGAAGAGGGTAGTTGTTGATAAAAGTCTGTAACTTGCTGGAAATCCTTTTCGTGACACGCGGTGCAAGTTTCTGACCCGTATAGAAAAACTGACTGAATTCAAATATGCGTTGAAAATCGGAATCTTGTTGTTTACGCTGAGATGGAATGCAGAGGATTTCCAAACCTATTTCATAACGATTTTGACTGGCTAGTTGGCTTTGACATTTTCATGCGTGCTGCCCGACTGCCTGTGGTTGAAATCGTGCTTCCTAGGCAGATAAATGAAGGAAGTAACCTCTGTCGAATCTCTCCCGTTGATGGTGATTGGTGCTGGTTGCTGTTGGCGCTGATGGTTGGTTATCTTCATCACCTGTATCTGCACTATGTTCACCTAAGTTCCTGTCTTCGCTGCCTCATCAGCCAGTTTGTTGGTTTTCGCCTGCCTGCAAGTCTTCGACTCTATGTGACACTAAGCATAAATAATCCACGCACGAAATGCAGATCTCTAGAGTCTCCTTATCGGTCGTCCAGAGTATTCCTGACTCCTCGCCCCCGACAGTCTGACGCATAACCCAGTACACCACAATTAGGAATATTATTAGTGATAATAGACAAGTTTTTTGCGATAATTAAGTGAATTGTAAATCCCAGGTTCTTTATATACAAAGAAAGAAGATAGCGTCTATTGAGAAGAAAGTGTTCACAAGAGAATAAGTAATCGATTGCGCCAACCACATAAGTAAGTAGATAAGCAACTGATATGTCACAAGTAAACACAACCTATCGCGGTGTCTGGGATAATGAAAACTAATCGAATCGCTAATTTCCAAAAAATTCCCATTTACGCATTTAGAAAAAATACGACAACAGATTGAACGAAGAAATATGCATTTCTTTTCAAATAGCGGTTCCTAATCATCATCGGCCGGCTCTACACTAATATATAGTTTTTTTACACCGAAGTTTTTTTTACCAATCAAGTGGTTATTTTAGTTAATCAGTTTGAGGTATAGACGGTGGTGAAATTAAGAGGTTAAAGGTCATCAAGACATCAATTAACTCATAGATGTTAGTAACAAGATATCTAAGTTTTAAAAGAGGGGTGAAAATTGATTAATTACGGAATTCAAGATAAGTTGATTCTTAGGCGTTGACAACAAGTTATTGCATAATCAAGAAATTTGTAAAATAGCAATGATGACTAAGAAGAATAGGATGACTCAGAAGAATTACATAAAATACAAACAAGTTAACAGAATTAGCTAGAATTGTAAAAACTAACAAAGTCTAAATATAGTTACAAGGGGAGGGGAAAAAACGTTTTCAAAAACTTAATATATTATGAATTTGGCCATGGCAAAGAAAGGGGCTGTACAAATTTCTTTTGAACTGACACACAGATTTGGCTTGATCAGATGAATTCCGATTGTCTCTGTTGTGTGTATGTAAAAGTCGTACTCGTAGACCATGAGAGAGGTTGGGTGATATGCGATAAATAACTTTAAAAGCTTTATTAGAGTCGACTTGATGTCCAAGTATCGATGAGATGAGCTAGTATTGAGCTGCGTATATCTTTATTCGGACCTCTGCCAAACCAAGATGGGAGGTGTTCAGAAATTCGACGATGAACTTGCCTGATCGTACGCCCTATATAACTAGCTCTGCGCGGGCAGTTAAACTGGTAAATAAACATGGAAGAGACAAAACAGGGTAGTCTGTCTTTTTATTTCTTGAACTAAGTATTGGTCGGCTAGTGAATACACAGCATAGCTTTAGCTGCATAGAAAGTCCTTTTGACGGCCCTTCTCTGACATTGTGATAAGATCTCACTCACTATTGACACCACCCGTGAATTGTAACCTTAGGAAGACTGACTTTTTGAGGACAGTCGGCAACTTTTGACTTTCTGAGTTCATGTGTTTGTTTACGAATATTATCGCTAATCACATAACATCAACCACAACCACAACAACAACAATACCGTCATCACTGATACTGGTTTAGGCGCTGAATTATCGATCACTGAGGGACACGGATTCCAAAAGAAATCCCACCTACCTACCGACATTTGGGCGGTCAGATGTAGTATCACTAGGTTTGGATATTGAATAATATCCGGAAAAACACAAAGACAGGACGGATGATTGACAAGAGAGGTTTTCGCTGTTACAAACAACAGTCAAAACAGTTGACAATAACGCTGTGCATATGAATGTCCCAAATGACGACCATGACAAACACTCAATGCAGAGTCAATACAACCAATGAAAGAGAGACTAAGAGAGAAGGGGAATTCAGCCTTCAGAAAGAGCATGAAATATTAAATGCGCAATAAGTAGGTGGAGTAACACCACCACCAAGATATCACTGTTTTAAAAGTCAGTCGTTAACATATATCCCGATTAGTTGGAGGATTTCATCATATGAGTTGACATCAGTTAGAGAACCGTTGGAAAACCAGCCAAGGGGAGTACTGGATAGCCAGCTGTTTCGTCAGCATAATTTGAGACGCCCCAGCAGTACGCACCCACCGCCAGGGTTCGAACCCAGGGACCTTCCGGTTACAAGGCGAGCGACCTTATAGACCATTAAGGCACTGGGAACCTAACCAATGGCCAGTTAAAAAAAAGAATGATTTAAACTAACACTTACATTTGCTGATCGAAGCATAGCCAGGTCGTCATCACCACCAGCAGATAGACTGCCATGATTATTTGTTAGTGTAGCATTATTCTGCCAGTTCATTACACCACCACTAACACCAGTATTTGCTCCATTACTAGGATATGAATTTTTCCCTATATTGAGAAAAATAAAAGAATAGGATAAGGAATAATCATAATCATATGCATACTAATAATAATAAGGGTAATTATGCACATATATTGTTTGTGTATAAGAACAAACCTGTCACAGTGATTGATGCACCACCACCTCCGAGATTTCGATAATTCCCTTGAATAGTTGTGCCTGCACCTCCGACTCCACTCGTAGACGAATAACTGCGAGCTGTCAATTGGGCTTGATTATTATTACCCGGAGCTGGGAGATCAGTATTACTATTACCTAAATAAAAATAAAAAGTAGAAAAAACAAATGTATATTTATGTATAATGATTGACTGACTGACTAACTGGTTTCAACATGGAACTACTTCGCACGGATGTGCAGCACTTTGAGTTGCCACACTCCCTCCATGTAGCACACAAAGCACGAGAAGGGAGTAAAGAAAGATTCAACAAAAGAGATAATAAATAGAAATGTGAAGAACAATAGAATATTATTGGATATTATAAATCACAGAGAGTGAATGCATCTGCACTATCTGAGCCATATCACCAATTGTCTCCAGCCGCTGTCACTAGTTCTTACCATCTCGAGGACCCCAACCAGCCACCCATCGTATCTGGCTTAAACTAACTGTTGTGGATTTATTTCATTGACTGATGAAGGCGTATATTTTGGTTTGACCACTAGCCTGATCCATCAGTCAGCTAACATTGGTCGCTGTCGAGGAAGGTGATAGCTAGGCTAGGCATGCGCAGCGATACATGTCTTCTCGTAACCATCTTTCTTAATCCATGTAACTTTACTACACAACCTCATCCATTGATTTCCCCTCCAACTCACCTAGCACTCGACCAACGCCTCACCTCAATATTGCTCACCTGATTATTATACCACTTAACATGGGAGATAGAACGCGGGCAGACACCTATGATCAAAGACAGGTAGCCTTTTCATGCCTTCCACTTTCAATGGCCATGTCTCACAGTCATATTTATGTATAATAATAATAATATTATTATTAATTATAATCCCCTGAGGTGACAATAAAATAAAGGGTTTCACCAACCCATATCCATTTCACACTGTTCTTCTCTGTGGTCTAAATTAGCTGTCATCACCATTATTTTCTCACACATTCACCCACAGACATACGCCCAACTTGCCAACTTTCCCTATCGTGTTCCATTCGAGGGCCTGACACGTGTATATTTTCTTTATATGTGCCAATTATCATTAGTATTTAATTGGTGGATGATGAGTAGCAGTAGTGGAATCCAGGATAACGCGCATTTCGTCCTATTTGGGACTCGTCGTTTGGATGTACCTGCATTCCCCAGTGAGTGATGATGTTTCCACCGAGGCTCTAGCCCAGTACCTGTGGTTTCCAACGCCAAAGCGTTATCCACTAGACCACTTGGGCCACGAGAGCCCCCCATTTGTGCAAAGGGTCATATTAATTTAATTGAATTTCAAATTTTCCCGTCGATTGATTGGACCGAAGTGCCCCATCTCAGGTTGACATGTCGACTTCTTGTGCAGATGCTTCGACAATGCCTGAGCATGTAGTTAGAAGCTAATTGGGGAACGCAGGTACATCCAGCTGAGGAGTCCCAAATAGGACGAAATGCGCATCGTGGATTTCACTGCTAGTCATCATCCACCAATTAACTTCTAATTACATGCCTAGGCATTGTCGAAGCATCTGCACAAGAAGCCGACATGTCAACCTGAGATGGGGCACTTCGGTTCAATCAATCAATCGACGGGAAAATCTCAAATTCAATTAAATATCATTAGTATTATTCATAAACGAGTTCATGAACTAGTCAGGTGGTGTAATTACGCCGTATTGATCTACAGTGCTTAAAACTTTCTTATAACTAACTAGTGGATTTCACGTTTGAAGACCACTCTTTTCACATACATATTTAGCAATTACATGGAATTTAATTAGTCCACAATCGATAAATGTGGTTTATTGTTTATTGAAAGGGAAAAGGTGCACAATCTTATTAGGTCGGATTGTATTGCTGATAGCTCAAACATATTCGTCTAAAACAACATCCTCAGTAATTGATGTGGTTAACAAACTGAAGAATCGACAAGTGGAATGAGACACGATTAATTCCACCAGGAAATGCACATTTTCACAGCTTCGTTCCTCTTCAGTACAAAAGAACTTTAGTAACGACCCTCAGCCACAAGGTTAGAGCTATATGCTCAGAAGATGTAACTGAAGATGAATTAGGCATTGTATACGCTACCTTGATCGATTAAAAATAGCTATCCCGACAAATTTATCAGGAAACACATAACTACTCACTATCCGTAAACAAGAAGCCTTTATATATACGACTGCAAAATAATCACGAAGAAATTAAGAAAATCAGTTCAAGGAACTTTTAATGCTGGCAAACTACACGTCTTATTCTCTACACAACCAGTGGTGATTCCTCGAATGAAAAATGAAGTACCTAGACTAGCCACTTCTAATTGTATTTATCAATTCGAATGCGCTTGTGGTGGAGAGAGTAATACCGATCGTTGCTCTAGGAACTTGATTTTTCGTGCTCGCTCGAAAACATCTACCAGTATGGCTAAGTAAAGGTGTAGTAAAAATCAGCAACAGTTCTATGTTGTACTATCTGATCCAAACCGGTCACAAAGCCAGCCAGCATTGAAGAATCCTTCTCTATCATGATCTATCGGGTACCAGATAAATTGCCAAAAGCACCCATGTACCGAAAACCGCAAACACTAGAGGCTATCGTGATTCACCTGAAAAAACCAGTGCTTTGTGTGCAAAAGAACCAAGTCCAGCTAGCCGCTTCCACTGCCCTGGCCGGCCTTCAGTAGAGACTATAAATTCATGAATTCTGCATTATTATCTTTCCTAATTTTTCTGATATTCAGTGTGTATTGTTATGTCGATGCTATTGAACTGTAATCTATTGTTCATAACACTAATTCATTCATTCACTATAATGTATATATAACTGTAAAACCTGATGAAGAGCAGGTTGTCGAAAATAATAATCTTTGTTCAGTAATTATTCATCTGAAAATAGTATTATTTTCAATTGTTTTAACTTATGAAGCAAAATACTCTTTGGTGAATAAGCATCATTTCTATGCATATATCGCGTCATCAGACTTGAGTGATATACTTGTATGGTGATTAAACCATGCTAAAATGTAGTTATCACTACTGTCTGAAAAGCTAAACACATTCAAATTGGATGATCGTAGTAAGATAGGATCTTAATGCACTAGTAGCTAGCTAGCTATGATTGGTAGGTGGTGGTGATCACCGAACTCAATTTAACGTAGTACCCAAAATAGGGTCAAACAGGTGATCCGCAGTTAACGTCCAAAGGCTTTAGTGTGGGATGGGGAGAAGGCAAAGCAGAGATGGGAGATTGATGCAATTCAACTAGACCACATTTCTTTAACTTCTCTTCTTTTCAACTCTAGAAACATTAACACCCAAATCATCTTTGAGAACCTGAGAAACAGTATTTTTTAAAGTTGCAGCACAAGCGCACACAACAACATAAGAATAACAACAGTGCAGTTCTACTATTTTGTGAATGAGTACCCACGAAAATTGAGGATATATGTAGCTCATGAGTATAACAAAATACGAAACTAATATCAGGCACACCTTATCTCTGAGTAAATCATTTATTTATAAAGAACTATGCTTATATATTTATTATATGGGAAGTTTTTTTAAGTAATTAAAGTCGCACTAATGAATTTACGACCCAGTTAGTTTATGAATAGCTAAACATATTACAGCATAGTCGTGTTTTTATTCCTTACGTTCCGAGTGGAATACATGGCGGGAGCGGGGGGTTAAGGTTAGGAAGTCCCAGTGGAGATGATGGAGATGCTAGTCTCACAAACCTGATTCCCCCCGCACCTTTTCCAAGCTTACTAGCACAAGCAGTGAGCGGAGGGGCTCGAGATGTATCCACTGGAAGTCGAACTGGGATATGTCTGGTGGTTGCATCAGCATCATATGATAACACTGCATACAGTTCTAATCTAGCAGAAAAAAGGTAGGATGAGTGGTTGTTGATTCTCCTGCAAAACCGACGGTATCATTCCTCAGTCAATTTTTTTATTCCTTTAAGTTCCCAGTGGTGGAACCAAAGGGCTTCAAGCTAGAGGCTTGAAGTATCTGTAGCAGTGGTGTTTACTTTTACGGGATGAGGTTACTAGTCTCAAACCCAACCTTCCCTGTTTGACTGATTGACTGACTGGTTTCAACATAGAACTTTGCACGGATGTGCAGCAATTCGAGCCACCACACTACATGTAGCACACAAAGCCAGAAAAGAAAGTAAAAAGAGACTCAAAACAGAGACAGTACACAGAGATACCAGGCAAAAAGAACAGTATATTGGATAGTATAAGTCATAAGGAGTGGATGCAACTGTACCATTGAGAACGATTTTCAGCCATATCAGCAATTGTCTCCAGTCATTGGTGTTTACTGTCCCGAGGAGCCCAACCAGTAAGTCCACATTTTCCTGCGTGGCTAAATGGATTTCACTGACTACTGAAGCCATGTTTTGGTTTGACCACCACCGGTTCTTTGCCAACCTGACCGTATATCAGCTAACAATGCCCATCGAGGAAGGGAGTCTTATTACTGGTTAAGCGAGGTCTATGAGTGCGTCCAGTGGCCGAGAATCGAACCCCGAACCACGTGAGGCCCCGTTGACGAGCATTCTACCGCTGTGCCACCAACGCAATCCCCAATCAATAGGTATATTTTATTACGTGTGATTCTCTAATTGTGATTGACACATACTGACAAAAGAATGTGCCATAAATTACGCAAAGCAAATAGAATTGAAAAATATTAAAATAAGACAAAAACCGTCTAGTTACAATAGTTATGTCGCTAAAGAACGGGGGATTTACGAGGAGAAATTCTTTCATAAGAGATATAGGAGGGTAGAGTAGAAAGAAAACCAAATGGTGGTGGTGAGGGGTTGGGGAATTACATAATCAACTCACTTGCTGATAGTGTACCTGGGCCGAGTTCTTTCACTCTGAAAAACAAAAAACACAACAAATAAACGATAAATCATTAAGGAAGAAAGAAGACATGCATTCGTTAAGTTGTGCATACTTACGTGTGTGCTCGCATTAGACGACCAAACACACAAGCGCGTACACACACACACACAGAGGACCAGACAACACACTACACATCATAGCACGTGACAAACACAAAGATGTGAATGAAAACAGATACTTGATGAATTAGCAAACTATTTACACCTTCTACGCCTCTCTTTCAAATCAATCCAGTTCAGATCGATACAACATTAGAGCTTTAGAGTAAATTTTCTAAAAAGGAATGAAACTGGACTGAAATTTGAAGTGAAAACTAGTACCATCCATCAATCATCAGTAAAGAAAGTCATCCTTTTTTCACATATCCTGTAGTGATTCAGATTTCGGCTTTACCGTTGAACAAAGTTATGCAGTGAGAATAAAAAGCTTCATTGATTGATATGTCTGAGATATACATCTGTAAAGAAGACAAGACTGAGGAGGCTGAAAGGAATGTTTATTTGGTGAAACGTATGGTACATAGCTAAATTTGGTATACCATATTCTCAACCGGCCATTTACACATCATTCACCAAATCCTTGACGAATTAGTCGAATATCGTCTCATTCGATGGCTTCTTGGATTCTGCATCATATGGCAACATTCTTCTCATCGTTCTCTTCTTTGATTGCTCTTTCCAGTGTGCCAAACATATTGTTACTTCGTTTCTTATATACTACTTATATCGGATTATAAGTAGCACTCACCACACGTCTACAGTTCTACCAAATAAGGAGGGGACATCTGAGACCTTCCCTACGTAGGATTCTCAATAAAGCAGGAATTAGGGTGGCATTCAAACCTGCAAACTCACTCAGGTAGGACACGCTCTGTAGGCTAAAGGACCCGGTGGAGCCAATTAGACAAAATAATATAATTTACAAAATACCTTACAATTACTGTAAGTTAGGTCAACCACATAGGTCAAACTATTACTGGATCAGGAGTAGTGAGATTATCAGAACATAAGAATTTAGTGACTAAGGTTAGAATGATTGGTCCCACGAAGATAAGTAATTAAGAAAACAAACTCAGCAATCGCAATGCATGCATTAGCACACAATCATACAATAGGGTGGGACAGAGTCGAAATACTAAAAAAAGTAATATAGGTAGGTGGAGAGAGATTGATTACTGAACCCTGGTTCATCGAGTCTACCCGCACCCAACACATGCAATAGAATTGACTCAACGGAAATACCAGAGATATAGAAGATATTATTACCACCAGTCAAATCACAGGAGGATAGTTTGCTTTGTAAGGGTTAGTTATGTTTTTACGAGCTGATCACGGACTGATATCAGTTAGAGAACCATTGAAAACCATCACTGGAGTACTGGACAGCTGTTTCATCCTAGTTTGGGAATCATCGGCAGTACGCACCCACCGACAGGGTTCGAACCCAGGACCTTCCGGTTACAAGACAAGCTCGTATAGCCGACAGACATCACATAGGATGTCACTTCTACAGAGAGGTTCGGTATAAACCATTTTAAGTGGATTTTTTTTCAAGCTAATAGGATTGTACTATGTTGATTAACTCCAAGCCACCATAAATGACCTGGTAAGGATAGACGATTTCGGTATTCCTTTAGAAATACCCCTCATGTGGCCACGCGTTTATAGCCTCTACCAGGTAGGTCCTATTCCCCTCCTTTGCGTGGCAGAGATGGTCCTCACAAAAGCGAAAGGCCAAATACTAAGGTGTGGCGTTTAGAAACGGACTGGCGGAGATGCAGGACTACCTAGGGAACCTGGGAAGCGCTGATTCAAAACTTATAGTGTACATCACCTCCGGAGTTCATAAAGGAGAGTATAGTCTACCTACGAACCTACCTGGCAACCAACCATGGGGAATGCAGCTTCTGGATAAGACTTCAAGTCAAAGGCTCGAGGGGCGGGGAGTAGGGGTGACCTCTTAAGACAACCGCCTACTTCGCTTTAGGCGTCCGACCAGTATCCCAGCCTTCGCATAAACTATGAAATTTTGTGTCGCCCGTCCCAGCTACCAATAATCTCAAACTCAAAAGTTGACTTCCATACTAATTCGGAACTAGTGTACTTTGCACACCCTAAAGAGTGGGCGGCAGTGAGCGAGAACTATGCTGCATGTTCATCAGTGACCCTTGATTTCATATTTCCATTTCTCCTTCACATAATATATAAATTATAATAAGATGAAGGAAAAACCCTAATAAAATTAATGAGTTTAAAAATCTGAAGAATAATAAACAAAACAAAAAAACTAATTACATAGTGACTATTGATAATTAGGCTATTGCTGAAAATATCAATAAAGATACTTTAGTCACTATGGTAACCCACCAAATAAAATGTTGCTTAGATTTATTATTATCATAGTAAATACATAGTGCGTAGTTTACACGTTAAAAGAAGGAATTAGGAGAAAAAGGACTTGAATTTTTGAAAACGAAAAAATATATGTATGTGAAATCATGTGAAAAAGGAAAGTATATGAAATATATAAAATATTTGAAGTACAAATGAACTTGATTTATCCATTCTCCTTTCATACAATCAAGAGATGGATGTGATCTTTCAGGGTGTTTTTTTTGTTATTCCTTTACGTTCCCAGTGGTGGAACATAGGGCAGCTTCAAGCTAGAGGCTAGAAGTTTCGGTAGCAGTGTTTTTACGGGGTGGGACTGTTAGTCTCCCGCCCAACCTTCCCTCTTTGTCGGGATTGTAACAGGTCGGCCGGGACTCAAACCCCGGACAATGATTACTACTAATAATGAAGTAAGTGGAATTGAATTTACGACTCAGTTAGTTTATGAATAGCTAAACATATTACAGCATAGTCGTGTTTTTATTCCTTACGTTCCGAGTGGAACACATGGGGGGTTAGGGTTAGCGAGTTTCAGTAGCGATGATGGAGATGCTAGTCTCACACACCCAACTCCCCCCTCACCTTTTCCAAGCTTACTAGCACAGACAGTTAGAGGGGCTCGGGGTGGATCCACTGGAAGTCAAACTGGGATACGTCTGGTGGTTGCATCAACATCATATGATGACACTACATACAGTTCTAATCTAGCAGAAAAAGAAGTAGAAAGAATGGTTGTTGGTTCTCCTGCAAAACTAATGTATCATTCCACAAGCAATTTTTTTTATTCCTTTAAGTTCCCAGTGATGAAACATAGGGCTTCAAGCTACAGCTTTGAAGTTTTGGTAGCAGTGGTGTTTATTTTTACGGGATGGGGTTGCTAGCCAGCCTCGCACCCAACCTTCCCTCTTTACCAGTCTTATTACTAGCTTAGCGAGGTTGAGGAGTGCGTCCAGTGGCCGGGGATCGAACCCTGGACCTTGTGAGGCGTGGTCGGTGACCATTCTACCGCTGTGCCACCGACGCACGATCTTTCAGTGTAGTGGATGTATTCTCCGAAGAGTATATAATCTAATCATGAAACTTTCACTGACCTTCCCCCTAGACAGCAACTACACAGCTTGATGTATGCAATATGGAGTGAGTTTTCTGGAATTTCGCTATGTACAGATGACGTATTCGAAGTTCTTTCGTACGATATTGAGGAACTCTGTGTAGCAGTGTGAAGCATTCATGCGGGGCGGCGGGGGTGTTGCTCGATGTCCAGAGCTGACAAAGTGTTCGAGGATGGAGCTGTTAGTAGACAGTGTGCCAGAATACTTTCTCGCACTTGACGATGTGCAGTATGAAAACGTTAACTGAGAAATACACCTTGAGGTGGCCAAAAGTCAATCGATCGTTGCATTAGGCCTGGTATCTTGACGTTTTATGCCACGTGACTTGTTATTCATACACATAATTCGATAAATTCACTCTACATAAGATGAACACATCTCTACATCAGTGACAATTGATGATGTAAGAACCAATCTTCCAGGAATTCTGAAATTTCAGTATTTCCATTGTTTAAAATTTTCCATTCCTCTACTCGAATTGGTGTGTGTGTATGTATATATGTGCAATAGCCCACAAATGTTGATATTAAAACAAAATGCATGCCACGTCTTTTGACGGCTAGTCTGTACCCTTGGATTCGAACAGTTGAAATACCAATAATAAACGCTAGAGGCCGATATCACTTGAAGTAAACCCTGAAGACTTAGTGTGCCAGAAGGATAAAAAAAAGCTTCACATAGAACTACACCCCAAGAAAAGTTAAAAGTGAACTCACCTATCAGCATATCGCAGGGTATTTAGTGTATGTTCACAACTCGACATACCAGGTGATATCATAGCAATCATACAGGTTCGTGAACGATCACCAATAAATGAATCACGTAATACCTGAGTTAGTTTACTTGCACGAAAAGGTAAATGAGCACCACGTCGACCAAGTGCACGAATACACTCCTATATATACAGTAAGAAGAGGAAATACAGAGAGACTCTTTCAAAATTAGGCATTAAATAATTCAACAAAATAAACGTTTATGTGGCGTTAACGTGCGTTCCGAAGACACTGAAATAATACTGAACCTCTACCACAAATACATCATTCATCACAACACCATACAAAAGTGACAGAGACAAAAACCGGAGGAAAGTTATCAATAAACAAAAGTCAGTATAAGGGAGAATGATTGAATCAACAGTCCACCATGACTTATACCAGTTCACAATGAAACCTGTTCATCTATCACCCTGAGTTGACATTGGACGGGTTGAGCCGATCGGCAGGAAGCCCAGGACACGACCTAGGTTTCGTGCTCAGGCAGACGGGCGTATCTGCAACCTTCAAGGAACTCATATACCTCCTGAGATTCGAACTCGTGACCGAACTCCTGTAGAACTTTCGTGTCCACCAGTATGAAACCTAGGTTATGCAAGGCTTCCTGACAATTGCCTCAAACCATCTAATATCAACAATTCAGTCTGCACTAAACATAGGACTAGACACAGTCCACTAGTTACTAACTAGTGTCCAATCAAAGAAATTGACTGAGTCCCAACATAGAAATATGCACAGAAGTTTAGCAGTTTGAGATGACACACTCCATGTACCATGAACAGGCAGAGAGAAAAAATCTAACAGAACTATAATGGGAAGAAATTCACTGTGGAAAGAACAATTTACACAGAGAAATATGAGGATATGATCGATGAGAAAGGCCTCAAGGAGTGGATGCATCTGTGCCACTGAGAACAATTTTCAACCATGTAACCAGAGCAGTCTCCAGACGTCCGTTTTTAATGTCTCGAGAACCGAAGGTATGCAGATAGTCTACACCTCCCGTCATGACTCAAACCAACAGGCATGCATTGATCTCATGCTTTGATTTGATCAGTCCTAACTCTCTGTCTATATAATCCCATTTTAGCTAACATTATTCATCGATGAAGGAGGTGGCTTGGTAAACAGTAGCTATCTCAATCGATGCAGTCTCATTACCACATTGGTTGACTTGCCCTCCTTACTTAATACTTTACACCTACCCTTAATATTGATTATATTATACCAAATGGCGACATAAAAATCTCAATGGGAAACTTCGATGCTAAACTGGGAACAGGAAATACAAGAAAAAATTTCATCATGGGTTAATATGCTCTCAGAGAAATGAATGAGAACGGTGAACTTGAAGCAGACTTCTGTGCATTTAATGATTTGGCGATCGGAGACAGTGTAGAAACATAAAGATGTACACAAGGCAACATGCATTTCGCCTGATGGACAAATCACGAACCAGATACATTTCATTTCAATATCGCTCAAGGAAATGAAGACGCAGCCAGCCTCCTGGACACAAAGTCGAGAAGGGGAGCAGATGTGGCCTCAGACCATCATCTAGTTCAAATAGCATTCAAGGTGAAGCTGGAATCCTTCAGAACAACTGGAGACAGGACACAATTCAAGTTCAATATTCAGAAACTGAAGGACAAAACTACAAGGGATGCCTTCACTACAGATCAGATCAGAGAAAAGCAGGAGACACTACGTGGTATCACTGAAGGAACCTGTGCAGAAGTACATTGGAACTCTCTGAAGGTGATGTTCAAGGAAACGTGTTCAACTGTTCTAGGAAGAAAGAAGAGACAAGACAAGGAGTGTCTATCAACGGATACCTACCTGGAAGCTAATAGAGGGGAGGGGCGGATGGTGAAGGAGAAGATGTCTCAATGCGAAGATAGACAACAGAAGGAGAAGCTGAGTCCAATGTACACTGCACTGAATAAAGCAGTGAAGAAGAAGAGTGCTAGGAGAGACAAAAGACAATTCTGCGACATACTGGGGGGGCGGTAACTGAAGCAGAACAGGCCACAGGTAAAAGAGAAATCAGGACATAGTACCAGATAACCACCTCTCTATCCAAGTCTTCAATGCAATGAAACTACTGAATTCTGGGAAAACAGCAGGACCAGACGGAATTCCCCCTGAAACACTGAAAACGCCACTATTGCAAAAGGTATGGAAGGAAGGGAAGGTGCCCACCGACTAGAAGAAACGCTGGCTATCTTGTCAAACTACCGAAGTAGGGTGACTTAGAGTTGTGCAAGAACTAGTGCAAAATCATGTTCTTGTCCATTCCAAACAAAATACTAAGTAGCGTCTCCTTGGAGAGAATAAAACATTTGCTGGACGCAGAATTCAGACCGGGGAAATCTGGATTCAGGACAGGTGAATCGTTTGCGGATCAAATTGTAACTCAACGCGTCATCATTATCGAAAAGAGGAAAGAACGACATTCAAACCCTAAATTCAAATTCATAGACTTTGAAAAAACCTTCAACAGGATTGATAGTGAAGTAGAGCGGGAACTACTTAAAAACTGTGGAGTGTTGAGGTCCCCCAAATCTTTATCAACGTCATTTAACAAACAGTTGGGTATATGACAATGCGACGTGTCATGCGATCCACAACTGAAAACTCCGTAAAGCCTTTGAGGTAAGTACAGGAGTAAGATAAGACTGGCTGACTACTATCACCGATAATGATATTCCTAATAGTGGTGTACCAGATTATGCTGGAGACTGTACGTGGAGATCGAGAAGAAAAAAAAGGAAAATGTTGGATAGACAAAAGGACTCTAGAAGATCTAGACTTTACAGATGATTTATGTCCAATGCCATACAAGCTCAAAGACTTACGGGTGAAAACTAGCAAACTGATAGGAGAAACAGCAAAGACAGGACTTCATGTAAACATACAGAAGACGGAGATGATACATATAACCAAAAACAACAACAACAACAAGCACTGTCACTATTAACGGGGAGATTTGAAAGGGATCACTTTCTACACTTATTTACGAAGTACTGTTTTAACGACAGGCAGTCGGAACAGATGAAGATGTCAAAGCCAGAATTGGAAACGCAAGATATACGTTCATCAATCTGAAATCGTTCTGGAGATATGCTTCACTCAGCCATCCTAAACAACAAGATGCGGATTTTCAACAAATTTCTTCGATAGGGGTCAAGAACTTGCACTGCGCGTCACAAAAAGCATTTCTAACAGGCCAATTCACAGATTTATCAACAACTGCCTCCACTGGTTCCCTAGTGAAGATCAAATGGCTGAGAGGAAACAATTAGCAACAAGAAACTCTGGCAACAAACTAACTAAGAGCCAATTACTCAAAAAAATATGTAGGAAACAATGGATGGATTGTGCACATGTCACTGAGGAGACTGTCGAATGACACAGTTCGCTAGGCTATAGTCGAGCAGATCCAGAATGAAAAACGACGAGGTGGGCGTAGATCTGATGGTCATATGGAGGAGGTAGTGCGAGGAAGAGACGGGAGATCATGGGCAATTGTGTGACCAGTTGAAGAGGACAGTACAGAATAGAACAAAGTGGAGATGTGCTGTTTAAGCCTTATGTCCCACTAAGAACCCAAGGGAATAATAATAACTGTTGGACAAAATGACAAAAAATTACCAGTTAGACAGAATAAAAGTTATTTGGTCTGATTACTACTAAATGGCTCTTCATATTCGAAGTGTTAGTTAATTACGATGAAACTAATAAAGGATTGTCATTGTCTAGGAAATTGATTCAAAATAATAATAGAAGCACATACACAATCCTCCCCTCACTTTATAGTGTAGAGACATGAAACGTCTGTCTACCTACCTCAGTCGGGATAAATAGAGGTTGAAAACATATTAGCTCTTATACATTCCGTGTGGTTAATAAATTTACAAATGATCTGAGTTCAAATAACAACAACAAAACCATCCATCATCACAATGAAAATTATATCTACTGAATATTATACAAGTTCGTTGGCGGACTTTACATTTTTCTATCTGCGTTTCAAAGTCTCTACAGTGATTTTCCAGAGTAGGATAGTTAGTCGCACATCCAACTTGTCCTCTTCTTCTAGGTTCAGCATCACCTAGAACACGATAGTAATATCAAGTTAGCGATTCCATAAGCATTTCCAATAGGCTACTGAAGTCTTTTACTAACACTTGCCTTCATTAGATACCGAAGAACATAATGCTCGGCAGGAAACGATAATCAACAAGGAACTTTGGCGACAGGCAACGAACCCGTCAGGATCTCAATGTTCAACAAATATTCAAAAGGAAATGAAAACAGATTGGAAATAAACTGGGAAGACATTTAAGTGACGTTACACGGCAGGACCTCCAGTAAAACTCAAATGAGAAGCAACGATTTGAGCCTCCAAGGGTGACACCGAGAAATTTTGTGAGGAAGAAATGGAAGCCTGTGGACAATCGTGGAGCCGGATAAAAAAGTTAACAGAGATGTGCTTTTGGAGCCCGGTGTCCCACTTGGAAGAAAAAGGATGAAAAATAATAATAAACCTTTGAAGATATGGAAGCACTTAATCGTACTCCCCAATTTCCCAGGCTGAAATATAAATAGACGTAATGCAATTCACTGACTTTTCGTCAACAGTGTTTAAGACAAGAAGCCATATATCTCTCCCTTTTCATATATGTATTTATCATGTAATATGAGATACGCAGGAAAATAAAAAATACGACTAAAAAAATTGACTAAACTTACTTTTAAGGCTAAAAGACTCTTGTTAATTTCAGCACCTTCCATTCGTGTATGCCTATCTGAACTACTTGTATCCACACCACGTTCATTACCGGCTAAATCAATAAGTGAAAATTTACCATGGATTTTCCCAGTGGATTGTTTCTTTAAAATAAGCTGTTATACAATAGGGGAAGGGAAGTAAGAAAAAGGTGAAAAATATGAAAGATTTTAAAAATCAACTTGAATTCACTTAAACAAAATCAATTTCTTTTCTTAAAGTTTTATTAATAAGCAGTTACTGGTTTCCGGGGATTTGATTGGTGGTTACAGGATTTCATTATGAGCTGACATCAGTTAGAGAACCACTGGAAAACCAGCAGGGAGGAGTGAACAGCTGTCTTGTCCTAGTTTGGAACTCTCCATCAGTACGTACCCACTAGGGTTCAAATCCAGGACCAGTAGGGTACAGAAGGTCGGGTGTCGGGACAAATACTCCACCGACGACATTGACTAGTGCCAGTCACGAGGAATCGGGATTCATGGGCCATTGGATCGGGTTCTAGTGGCTTAATGGTCTACAAGCTCGCCTTGTAACTGGCAAGTCCCAGGTCTGGACCCTGGCGGTGGGGGTGGGTGCGTACTGCCGAAGAGTTAGTTTCAGACTAGACTGACGAAACAGCTACCCAATACTCCAGTGTTAATTTCCCAATGGTTCTCCAACCGATGTCAGCTCATGATGGAATTACCATTACTTGAAAATAAAGCTAGAAGGATAAGAGGGTAGCTGGCCTAATCATATCTCGAGAATTTACGACAGACATAGGAGAAAGCAAGATGAAGAGGACAGACGAATTTTGTGTGTTTATGAAAGAGAGCATATGAGCGATTGCTACTTCTTGTAAAGTGGAAATTGCTTTCTTATTCAAATACCCGAAAGTGAAAACTCATTGGAGTGCTCTGGAGACAAGTCCTTGAATCCTTATCTGGAAATGGAGTTTTTATCATTTGGCAGGTCCTTCCACCGGCGACCAGATACTGTCGTAGTGTGCAAGTCACGATGTACAAATTTTGGCGCTAAACTTCCTTAACCCCTCCTTTTCCTCAGAGCTGGAAGACAGCATAAGTGACATTCTAGTTGCCTAAGGGAAACACAAACATCACCTCTGTTGTAACACTCCTATCCGACAGCAGTACGATTAAGCCGTCAAACTCCAACTCTATAATATAACTCAATCACATTATGTTGAAAACTGCTCTGAGTGTAACCACTTATCATCATCACAATTCCATCTTTCTGCAGAAGCACCGATTCGAAAGCTGAGTAAGCTGAGCAGATAAGATGAATACTTGTGGCCACACCCTCTCTCATCGATATGTTTCACAACTGACGGGGGGAGGGACTAAACAATGCAAAACAATAACACCAACCAAAAGTAATATACTACTCAGCGTGGAAATCGATATATATTGATTACATGAAGATACTAAAAAAAACATATCACTTAGATAGACAATGGACTTTTCTACATGGAATATCAGCCATCAATAGATAATGACGACAATGATAGATTACAACGACTTGTATCGTATAGTCGAACAACACGTGTGCCTCTGTGTGCGTGTGTGTAATATCCTTAAGGATATACATGAATGAATAAGCACATTAACAATACATCACTTACTAATGTCACATGTATGTCATATGACAATATACAATGACATTCTTATTCTTCTCAGAGGATTCACACACACATATAGTAATTGACTCAGTGAGTGAGGGAAGGAGGGAGGGAGGGAGGGAGTGGTAACTGCAAAATATCGTCATCTGATCAACCGTGTGTCATACTCAACCTTAGCACAATCTGTCATTGATTTATAATTACGTGTATATTTCGACTATGTAATATATATATATATATATATATATATATATATATTAAAAATAGATTTTATTTTACATTATTTCATTCACAATCAACTGTGAGTAAAATTTGGTTCAATAATACGAACGAAATGCATACACCCTTATCGATTTTTCATGTACGCAAGTATAAAACAATCAACACCAAATTGCTTGAGAGTGAAAAAAAATAGTACTACTGCTACTATAACTACTATTTTTATTCATAACAAATGACTGTACAGACTAATTGATATTATGATTCTGGCTACAAAATAAGCAATTATCATCTCTTACGCAAACACACCCATCCACCCCCCCCCCCACAAACACACACACTGCAGATTCATTGTTAGGTCACCAACATCATCAGAGGTAATATTTTGTATTTATCATACAGAGTAGTGTTATCATCAACTAGAAAAGCGTAAACTAATCAATTAGATGAAAAACATTGCACTTGAATCCAATCGCAAAGTGAGACATACATTTTGCAGACAGGGTAATGACTTCGTGAACTAAAGCATTAGTGAAACGTGCGTCGGTGGTATAGCGGTTAGGACGCTCGCCGACCATGCACATGGTTCGGGGTTTGATCCCCGGCCACTAGACACTCTCCTTTACCTCGTTGAGCCAGAAATAATGCTGGTGAAGAGGAAAGGTTGGGCATGAGGCGGCTAGCAACCCCATCCTGTAAAAATAAACACTGCTACAGAAACTTCAAGCCACTAGCTTGGAGCCCTATGTTCCACTGGGGAACGTGAAGGAAAAAGAAAGAAGAAACGTGCTGGATCCTCATTGACAAGTACTAATAGCCGTCGTTCAGTGGTAGACTACTCTCCAATCACAGTGGGAAGGAGAGGGGATGCGACGTCCGAGTTCAATTCTGACCGAAACTGTTGAGATCTTCACCTATTCTATCAGCCAGTAGCTAGGTCAGAAAACATCGGGGGTGGGTGGGCGGTCGACCGTTAGCAACTACTGCTACTGAAAATCTAGTGTTTGAAGCGCTATATATTGCACTCAGAGAGCAGGGGAACACGAATAGAAAAAACCTAACTCCCCGGTTTCAGTTTGACAAGGAGATGAATGGTAACTAGCCTCGGTAGTTAGTAAGTGTACCGCGATACACACGTTTGGCACTCGTTCATCAGATTGCCCGTTGAAAGATATCAGGATGTTGGAGAATCAACGAATATTGTGCTGATGATCTGCAGAGTCAGCAAGTTTGATATCATAGTTAGAGAACCACTGATAACCAGCGCTGGAGTACTGGACAGCTGTTTCATGGGTCATTGAGTCAGGTCCTGTCCAGGTGGCTGAATGCTCTACGAACTAACTTACCTTGTAACCGGAAGCTACTGGGTTCGAAACCCGTTGTTGCTGGGTGCGTACCACCGATGAGTCCCACACCAGGACGAAACAGCTGCCCATTACTTAATGATGCTTTACAATGCAAACACCGGAATGAAACGCATATTCACATAAGCAAGATACATCTGGCGTCATAGGTATTGTAATCCGCCTCCCCACTGAATAAGAATTATGACATCAAGGTGATAGAAAAAGTTTATTTCATTGATGAAACCAATGAGGAAGCTGACAAAAAAGTGCACGTGTGCATAGACATCTGTGGAACACCCTGAACAACACATACACACACATGAATATATTTCAATGTACATTTTCGTCACGAACTAACATCCATCAGACAAAACATAGAACACCACGAAGCACTAGAAAACCGTTTCGTCCTAGTTTGCAACTCTTCACACCTGCAGACATACGACCTCATCCAGAGTCGAACCCATGATCTTCAGGTTACGAGACTGACTCGTGAATGCTAACTGCTGTCGATTGTTGATACAGTGGTACCACCACAAACCAGTATAACTGTGACTCATTTGTTGAGTGGTTAACCAATTGGCCACGTAACCTGAAAGGGTCCGGTTTGGAATTCGATCGATCCCCCAAAGGGATCATGACAATGTACTGATGAAGAGTTGCAAATTACGACGAAACAGCTATCCAAGACTTCCTCAATATGACGAAATCTGCATTGAAAGTAAAACCAAACTCAAAAACCCACTGAATCTGAACTTATGTGAACATACTTGAAAAACGGCATGTGAACGACTGGAATGTTGATTAGCCGATGTCTGTCCACTAGTACGTATGTGTGCACCATGTTGTAATAGTTTTAAAACACAATCAACAGAGTTCACTTCTTCTTCACGTAAACCAACTATTTGTACTTGACCTTTAGCATCTTCGAGGACACGAAGTTTTGCCTTCTTATTCAACAGATCGAAAACCTATTCATCACATTATCAAATGAATCAAATAAAAAAAAACAGAAATGATAATAATAATACCATCGATTTTTAAAGGTCATAAAACATGCAAATAGGAAACGAATGATAAAAATATACTCCAAACAATGACATGCAGTTGGGAATGAATGAGCCACGACAATTTTTTTTGTCTGAGGGCTAGTCAGTCATTCAGTCATACAACCTGACTGACTGCCAAAACCTCAGTAGGTGAAGCGGGATTCGAACTTATGACGCATTGGTTTTTATAAATCGAATGCTTGAACCAATAGTAATTAGGCCACAAGGGGGCTCCACAGAACTAGGGATACGACTGTTCAAACCTTGTAGCAGAGTCTGAACACATCATCCAGTTGGTTAGAAGTCGATGGCTTGGGGCTTAGACACAGATGAATTAGCTTCACAAAACCTCTACTATGCATATCATATATATATATATATATATATATATATATATATATAATATATATATGTATAACAATTCAGTGCATTACTTGAATGAATGAATGAAATACGCACACAATCAATCAATCAATAAAGCAATTACATTTCATTGTTTATTTACTTCGCATAGAGGAGAATGAAAGCGATATTGACCTTAAAAACATTTCACCCTATCATCATTATCATCATCAGGTTACACAGTGGCCTACACTATGTAATACACTGAATTCACCTGCTTCACCAAATAAAATTCCTATAAATAAGTGTGTGTGTGTGTGCACAGTGATTCAGTATTTACAATGGTGTAAAAGATTACAGGTAAGTAAGAACCACAGACGTGCATCGGTGGTATAGCGGTTAGGACTCTCGCCAACCATGCACATGGTCCGGGGTTGAATCCCCGACCACTGGACGCACTCCTTTACTTCACTAAGCCAGTAATAAGACTGGTAAAGAGGAAAGGTTGGGCGTGAGGCTAGCAACCCCATCCTGTAAAATAAGCACTGCTACAGAAACTTTCAGGCCTATAGCTTGAAGCCCTATGTTCCACTGGGGAACGTGAAGGAATAAAAAAAAGAACCACAGTGAATCGTAGGGCTAAACACAGTTAAAGATTAATAGGTATTGACAAGGGTTACGTAATATGGAAGGCACCCAGAAAAGCAGAATGTTAGTCACAGAACATGGAGAAAAATGTCCAAAATAAATTATGTAATAGATAGAAAGAGAAAACAAAGTAAATAAATAACCATTCCATATAGAAAGGAGACAGCTGAAGAACTTCAAAGAGTACCATTGCTTCATATAATAATATTGAAGTCTATTTCAATCCACCACCCCTAATTTTCTAGAGAATGCTTTAGCGAGTGAATGTCAAAGATATGGTTCCCAAAATGACCTAAACCAACAACTGTGTCTATAGGACAAAGTGTTCAGAATGTGAAGCTTGCTGAATAGGAAAGGGGGAGCAGTAGACAGGTGAAGGTCAGACTGAATGATCATAGACTGTGCAATGCACGAAACGTCCACCTAGAAATGATGAAGTAGAATTAATTAACTTTAGGACTGGGTTAGGGTGAAACTTGCAACGAAGATTATGATGAAAAGCATCAATTTGTAATGCTGAGTGATCTGATTGGTTGGCTCAGGGTCATTTGACTGTGGTGTCTATTCTTTACTGTTGCCGTAAATTGATAGGTTTTTTCAGCAACTTATATGACTAATTGACCTAATATAATAGGTAATCACCCCGACTTTTTTCAATACTATACAAATGTGCAGCTGTGAAGTAAAGTTAGGTGAGGAATAATCTGCCGACCTGTATCCTGATGCATTACTCATGGTCTAGAGACAAAGTTGTTGTTGTTGTAACACGGTTTTGAAATAACAGGGACAAATGTGTTAACTACAAGTTGTCCATTTGAGCCCTATCATTTGACGCAGATTAAATACGCAAACTATTCCATTCACCCGGTTCCCTTGATTGATTGACTGACTGACTGACTACTTTCAACATATAACTACTTTCCACAGAAGTGCACCAGTTTGAGTTGCCACACTCCTCCCATGTAGGATAGAAAACAAGACAATAGAGTAAAGAGAGATTCAAAACAGAAATATGAAGTAAAAAGAATAGTAATATAAAAGAACCATGTAGTTTTATTGGATATGACTGACAAATCACAAAGAGTCAATGCATCTGCGTTGTCACTGACAACGATTTTCAGCCACATCGCCAATCGCCTCTAACCAATGCCACTGGTTCTTACCATCCCGAGTACCCCAACCAGAAAGGCTACACCTCCGGACGTGACTTAAACTGTTACGGATTTCATTGACTGGTGAAGTCATGTTTTGGTTTGACTACCATTAGCTAACTCTTTTCCAACCTGATCCACCCTATGGCAGTCAGCTAACATTGACCACTGTTGAGGAAGGAGATCGATGACTGGGCATGAATAACACACACGTCCTAACCATCTCTCTCAATCCATGTAACTTCACTTACAACCCCGTCGATTGGTCTTCCCTCCTCGTTACCTAGCACTCGATCGAAGCCTAACCTCTTCAATATTGCTCACCTTATTCTACCACCACTTGACACATAAGATAGAACACAGGCAGACACCTATGATCTTCCACTTACGATAGCCATGTCTCACTCACAGCCAGCCATAAAGGAGGGCAGAGCGAACTGCTGGTCAGTACACACGTCCTTTGGTCGACAACCGGTCAGCGAAATATCATGCCTACTAAGCCAGAGATGTGCGTCAGTGGCACAGCGGTAGACTGCTTGCCGACCACCCATGTGGTCCGGGGCTCGATCCCCGGCCACTGGACGCACTCCTTTACCTGACTAAACCAGTAGTAAGACTGGTAAAGAGGGAAGGTTGGGTGGGAATGAGGCTAGCAACCCCATCATCCTGTAAAAATAATCACCACTGCTACAGAAACTTCAGGTCTCTAGGTTGAAGCCCTATGTTCCACTGGGAATGTAAAGGAATGAAAAAAGCTAAACCAGAGATGGCATGATGAGTGTATGAACATAAAATAAAGCAAGAACGAGTCTGTTTGCAGGAAATAACAATCATAATAAAATGCCTATTTCTTCGGTTACTACTACTATTACTACTGGTAATAGCCTGAAAGAAATCACTCTCAAGTTACTTACTATAGATAAATGTAAACAATGTAATACACACACACGTACACAAACACACCTGAGAATTTTTTCAAGTAGGAAAGCAACTGGAGTTGAACAATTCTTATCAAAAGTAATTATATTAAATAGGAGACATAAATATACGCCAATTAAAGTTGCTAACATTGTCATCAACAGATGGATATGTATATAAGTTGAGTATATGTGTGATGACGTCAATCTACTGAATTGCCTGATGACGTAATAACTTTACTTATTTTGTTTGTTTTTTTCTTGGTAATCAACAAAACAAGTCTACTGAATACTGACGTAGTCTAACCACTAACTGTGTCTACCCCCCCCATCACTACCACCACCAACACCACCACGTTCTCTTCTATCATTCTTTCTTAACTTCCGAACATTCTATCATATATTACAGATAAACAAACTCTGATTGTTTGAGTCATACAACAACTACTACTATACAACTATCTTTCGTGTTGATGCAAGCTGAATTCTACCAGTCTGTGCATACAGTGTGGTCACAACCAGTCTAAATGTTTCGCCATCGTGGCACACTCTGAATTGCAGGTAAAACGACAGGAACTTCCTAGACCCAGAGGTTTTGAGTGTTGGTTGGCATTCGTCAGTAAGTAAAGACATATCTGACATCTTGATTGGAGGATTCCATTATGGGCTGACATCAGTTACAGAATCATTGGAAAACCTGCAGGGAGTACTATACAGCTGTTGAGGGGTCTCAAACTAGGACGAAACAGTTATCCAGTACTCCCTGCAGGTTTTCCAACGATTATCTAACTGATGCCAGCTCAAGACGAAATCCTCCAACCAATTCCTACAAAACCACTACGTGAAAATATCTGACCTGTCTTGAAGGAGATCAGTCGTAAGGCTGAATAACTGAGTGGTAACTTCTCTGACTGTAGAGTACTGGATGACACGGATTCGAATCTCAAAGGCGACACATTAAGTCCATCATTCAAGATACGCCTCGCTGACGAATGCTAACAATCAGGAAAGCTTCCTGTCGAGTACCTCCAATCATTTAACATCAATTATGAAGAATATGCATTTATATAACACTTGAACTAATAGTATCTAAACGGATAAAATATATTCGAATAGATTTATTGACTGATGGTACTGTGACGTGTGCTACTGATAAGATTTATCAGTAGTACATACATAAAGAGATGTCCATCGGCATAGAAAACACCAAATAGCAGGGAGATAGATTTGATGTCAGAGAAAGCAAATGATACATACAGCGTTGCGGAAAGATACATGGGAGACAACGTGAAAGGAACACAAAGAAACACGCACACAATATGAAGGGAGGACAGAAGTAGGCACAACAAGGAAGATCTGTGCAAATGTTGCGATGAAGGTAAGGTGTACATAATTTTGCTATATATAGTGATAACAAATTGCAAATAAACATTCCTTTACCAAATCATTTGTTTTGTACTGTTTAGATTAGACAAAACGTTGCCAAATATTCTGAAGGTACCATATAGTCAGACTATGATACCTGTGTTTTATATGGATGTTTCATCACAAGGGTGTTGTGACTGGCTGCAAATATATTCCTGAATCCATGTAGTTAGATGTACTCCTTCTAACAGAAATATACTGAAGCAAACAGAGAATACATTTCTCTTTGAACCAGCTACTATAGAACAACACTAGACGATGTTGGGTCCCAGTGGCTGAACGATATACGAGCTAGCTTGCCTTGTAACCGGAAGGTCCTGAGTTCGAATCCCAGTGGGTATGTACTACCGATGATTCCCAAACTAGGATGAAACAACTGTCAGTACTCCCTGGATTTTGCGTCGGTGGCACAGTGGTTAGGACGCTCGCTGACCATGCATATGGTCCGAGGTTCGATCCCCGGCCACTGGACGCACTCCTATACCACGCCAAACCAGTAATAAAAAGCCGGTAAAGAGGAAAGGTTGGGCATGAGGCTAGCAACCCCATCCTGTAAAAATAATCACCACTGCTACAGAAACTTCAAGCCTCTAGCTTGAAGCCCTATGTTCCACTGGGAACGTGAATGAAAACAAAAAAAGACAATGTTACATCAGCTATGTCATCACACGATGTACTTTCCTTCACCTTAGAGAGAGACAGTAAAACAGCGATATACGCATAAGTCATTTACCTACATGATTTGATATACGAACTAATAGTTTATGGCTATTATTATTACTATTATTTGGAGATGGAGTTCATTTGCTTGAGAACTCGGTTTTCAACCAATCGATAAACAACTTGTCTCAGCTTCGTTCCACCTAAATCAAAATGGGCAGCTGGGTAGCATCATTATCACCATCACCAATCCTCATACTTGATAAGTGCGGCTCTTAGGCTGGTTGCTATGTAAAAGATCTGTTCCGCGTAATTGAGGTAAAACAAACCAATTCATCGTGAAGATTGTTCATTAGAACCCGGTTGTTTAAGCCCCCGCCCCCAGTTTTCCGGGCTGAAATAGAAGGAACAGAACTGGAACCCTGGATCCAGTGGCTGATGGAGAGTGCTTGCAAGTCAATGAGCTACATCTCCACTCATGAAGATTCATAATTTGGTGATTGTGATGTCACGATGGGGGAAGAAATCCAGTGCATCCTCGGTTTCCTACCAGTTCACCAACTGATTTGGGTACATGACGAAACCTACCTAGAAAGTCAGCCTAATCTCTACAACTCAACACTTAAAAAATATACACAAAAAGTAGTACTATTAGTAACAGGGAGTGGAACTCTTCGACAATGACTTTTACAGAGAAAATCTTCTGTGTACGCTTAATCACAGCTATGTGCATCACTGGTTTAGTGTTGAGGATGTTCATCAACCATGCGCGTAGTCCAGGGTTCGATTCCCAGCCGATGTACTCCGAAAACAATCCTAACAGGTAGGTAGTAAACCCGAAAAGTAGTGGAAGGTTGGGCTCTGGCTTGAAGGCCGCCGCCTTATATTCCACTCGGAACGCAAAAAGGAATAAAGAAGCAAATCACACCACAGTACAAATATACAGAGAGGAAACTCAATAGTAAAATGAGTAAAAGCGCATACAGAGAGAGAGAAGACAGACAGACAGAGACACCTACCTTCCCACTGTAAATTTCGAAAAATGCAGCCTCAATTCGAAGATTTTCATGTTTATACACAGTGGCATTTAAATTGAAAACATCAGCAGCTGTAAAAAAATTTAAAAAAAGATGAAATATAATTTAACAATCACTTGTCAATGAGCAACAACACAAGGATTGAAAAAAGGCATCACGATACTGCGCCTGCCTTCCTACATATCTTGGATAGCGGGGTCGACATTCGAATACATAACCAAAATGGTTGGAAGTTGAGCATTAGATTTTTTGATTGACTGACTGATTGGTTTCAACATAGAACTTTGCACAGGTGTGCAGCAGTTCCAGTTGCCAATCTCCCTCCATGTACCACACAAAGCAAGAGAAGAGAGTAAAGAGAGATTCACCAAAAGAGAGATAATAAATACAAGTGTGAGTGAGGGAAAAACAATACCAATATGGGGTTATTCTGAATATGACAAATCACAAAAACTGGATGCATTTGCACCATTGACAACGACAATTTTCAGCCATATCACAACTGTCTGCAGACACTGGGTTTTACTATCCCGAGGAACCCAACCGAGAAGTCTACATAGCCCTACGTGGCTCAAACTAACTGTTATGGATTTATTTCATTGACTGATGAGGTCGTGTTTTCATTTGACCACCACTAGCTCTTTTCCAACCTGATCATCCTATGTCGGCAGCTAACATATTGCCCGTTGCCAAGGAAGGAGATGGCTTGGCATGCACAGTAACACCTGTACTAACCATCTCCCTCAGTCTATCAGTCGGTCGGTCGGTTTTCGACATAGAAATTTGCACATATGTGCGGCAGTTCAAGTCGCCACACACCGTGTAGCACACAAAGCAAGAGAAGAAAGTAGAAGAAATGCATATAGAGACAGTAAACAGAGGTGTGAGACAAAGGTATAGTAATAACGAAGAACAATCTATGTAACTTCACTACACAACCTCGTCGATTGATTTTCCCTTCCTTACCTAGTACTCCACGCCTAACCCTAGTACACCACTTAACATGGGAAACTGAACGCAGACACCCATGATCGAAGACAGCCAGCCAACTAGCCAGGCTTTTCATATCTTCCACTCTCAATGGGGGCCATGCCTCACTCACAGTCATAAAGGAGAACGGAGCGATGTGACTGCTGAGTAGTACACACATCCCTTGGTCGACAGCCAGCCAGCCAGCCAGATATCGTTCCTAATAAACCAGAGATGGAGCCTTCTGTATGCATGCTGAGATTTCGTCAGAGATCAACCCGCTGGCGCTGGCTGATGCAACTTCCCAAATACTAAGTGAAGTGGTCAACACGCTTACAAATAGACAGGAAAATTACTACCAATCGTCCATATGATTCATTGTAGAAACTCAGTTGGATATAAGCTGGCAGAAAGAACTATTCCAAAATGACGGACCGGCGGCACCACTCAGTTAACAAGCAAAAGTTCAATGATTTATACCATACAACAATCCTTAAATTCAATAGTCAGATATAATATGAACGCAGAGAAAAGAAACACCAATATGGTCATCACCTATAGTTTCATCATAAATAAACAAAACCAATACTCCTCCACATACATCACGTGAACATAATACTGATTTCTAATCAGGAGTAAATATCTAGAAAGCATTCACAACCTGATCAATGAAGTTTTTGGTGACATCAAGCTAACACAACAAGAGAAGAGGATATATCTTAGTTCATATATATATAAACACACCGGAAAGTAAGGAAAAAAATCACAAGCCTACTGTGAAAGGCGACCCATATACATCAAACAACAATCCAAGAGCACATAGACCCAAGATATATGTTGTATTATTAATATCTTTAGAAGAATGGAGGCGAAGTATCTGAAGACCACCTTCCACACAGACGGGTATAGAAGAAAAGTCATCAAAAGATGTCCAGTTAGAAGTAACAGCTTAGTTACGCTGAACAGATTTTCTATGCATCATCACGCTGTAAGTGACATTTTATGTAAGCACTAATGGTTGGTACTATCCAGCAGTCCAGACTGAAATAGGTAGTGGAGTGGGATTCGTACCGGGGACCGAGGCGTTGAAAACGTCGAGTGTGCTTGAACCAAGCCAAGTCAAGTCACATTTATACCCTTAATCCAGCCGATAAGCACAAAATCATTCTCCGAAACTATAAGAAAAGTAGTCTCACACCACAACATACGATCAATAATTCTGAAATCACTGGCTAGACAGCTAAAATCTTTTAGAAAAGATGTTACACCAGACAATCGAATACACGGTCAATTCACTCTAAACTATGCAGATTAAAAAAAAAACACTCAGCAGGAGAAACGAAGACAATAACCAAAATCATCTATAAGATAAATTGGATCAACTGAGAACAAACACTTTATTGATCAAAATAGACGACCAATTACACATATAATCTTCTCATCTATGAATACAAACGAAACGATCGATACACGTGAACAACAACGGATATCGGTTTGTCTCACGAAAATGCAGAAATAGCAAACAAGAATGACAGAAGATTTTTAAAAGCCTGAATGTTCGGATCAGTTTTCACTTAGCAGACTCTCACTTATCAATCAATAAAGAAATCACATGATCTTAAGTTCAAATATCATCGGGTCAGTGACATCATCAACATCAATAGAGGTGGATACAATTATAAAATAAAGTTCCCAGGCGGTCAGGTCAACCAATGACAGGAAAGTAATGAAAATGTCGATTTTCCTGTTTAACTGATGACCAATTCCGAAGATGATAAAACAACAGAACTTGGAACGCCGGTTCGGAAGTGTGGCAGTTCAAGTCGTTACAGTTCAGAAAGCAGGAGTAAATACATCTGTCTACATAACATAACACATATCTCAGACATCTCAGTCGATGGGGCTTAACAACCTCATCAGTTGACTCTTCCTCCTTATCTAATAACACTGTATCTAACCGCATTATTAATCAACATAATTGCTCTACAAGGCGAAATACGCCTTCATCAATCTGAAACCAGTTTGGAAATCTTCTGCTTCACTCAGCCAGCATAAACAACAAGATTCGGATTTTTCAACACAAATGTGAAGTCAGTCAGTTCTTCTATATGGGTCAGATACTTGCACTGCACGTAGGTCACGAAAAGGATTTCCAACAGGCCACTTCAGACTTTTATCAACAGCTGCCCCCTTCGCTGGCTCCACACTAAAGATCAAATGGTTGGCCGGCCAGAAAGAATTAGCAACAAGAAACTATGGCAAAAAACCAACCAAGAGCCAATCGCTCAACAAATAAATATGTAGGAGAAAATGGAGATGGATTGGACACCTCTACCACTGATGAGACCGTCGAATGCCATCGCGAATCAGGCCTTCGAGCGGAACCCTAATGGGAAGCGATGAGTGGGTCGTCAGCACGAGGGTGGGTGACATGGAGATCGTGTGGTGAGGAGGAGATGAACGACTATGGGCAATCATGGGCCCAGCTGAAGAGGATAGCAGAGAATAGAACAAAGTGGAGATGTGTTGTTGAAGCCCTAGGTTCCACTTGGAACCCAAGGGAATAATAATAATAATAACAGTAATATATTTGCCCCACCCAACACAGAGGGATTTGAACAAGGGAACTATGGTCGAAAATCGCCTATTTTTCTATACCTTCGGCTCTGAACAAACATGATTCGCAGCAGTGAACCAGGATGAATCGAACTGCTGGACAGATGGATACACCATGCCAGAACCGAAGATAACGCAAGTCGTCGTCCAGTATCATATGCGCTGACATTTTGTCAGAGCCTTCATGAATACAATAGTAATCGGTAATATATACAACAGGTTAAAGACAGATCTTATTACTGGTCCAAATAGACCTATACAGCCTACGACGTTTCATCCATAGAAAAGAAATTACCTCTGTTAATTTAATCATCATTCATTTGTGTAATGTATGTTGAGTGTGCTATGGCAACTTCAATATCTTTTTGTTTTTAAAAAATATACAAATGTGAAGGCGAAATATCGATTGGATTGCAAGATTACATTGAAACAGCTAAAATAGGTAACAAGGAATGCTTACCTGCTAATGCATAAATGCCATTTGAACAATTCTGTTGACCACGGGCATGAAATTCCCCACCCATAGTATGCGTTTTACCTGAGCCAGTCTGACCATAAGCAAAACATGTTGCCATACCACGTTGGAATATACATTCTACTAAAGGTTTAGCAGTATATCGATAAACCTATTTATATAGGGTGTAAAGAAAAGAAAAAGATATGCGGTGATGGTGGTAATGGAATTGTGAGATGAAAGTAGAGTAAGAATGAATTTATTAAAGCCTTGAAAGATTTTTTAGTCATAGTGTTTTAGAGCCTGTAATCATTTAGACTGACTTACTACTAACCCTAATTACTTATTTAGGGGAATCTGGAAGATAACATCTCTGCTACTGAGAAAGATTCTAAGCCACAATTGAAAAACAGCCTCAAACTATTGGTTCTGAGAGTCGCGGGTGCCTCAACCAGGCAAACTGCACACATCTCTACGTGGCTGGCTCAAACCAACAGTCATAGACCTCACGGATGGATGTCGTTTATTATCTAACTACCCCCTAACTCTTAACCAACTCTATCCTGCATCAGCTAACGTTGCGTGACGAGAAAGGTGGCGGTTAAGCACGCGTCACAGATATCGAGCAGACTATAAGCGACAGGTGGAAAAATGAGATTGATAATGTCCATGCTAAAAAAGACAACTACCAAACAAAATAGAGAAAATAGATATCTGACTTGAGTGAAAATAAAACTCTCTTAAGAATGCATTGAGCACACACACTGCTTAGTCGTACAGCTTTACTAACTAACGAAATAATCACTATCACCATGAGAGTGCATGGGTTCCAATCGCACCTCCGACAAACACTTTGCATAGGTGGTAGGAATATTCGCCAACAATGCCTTATATGGTTGTCCCTGGTTCGACTGCCTGCCTATGCACTCCTCGGAAATTCGCACGACGGGTAGTAATCCCGGTAAAGAGGGAAGGTTTGGCATGAGGCTAGCAACCCCCTACTTGTAGAAAACAAACACTTTTCTTGGAACTTCAAATCTCAATCTCGAAGCCCTGCGTTCCATCTGGAACCCAACTGAGCGGTTGACTGACTGGTTTCAACACAGAACTTTCCACAGATGTCTGACAGTCCCAGCTGCCACGCTCCATGCAGCTCACAAGGCAAGAGAAGACAGTAAGGGAGGTTAAAACGACAGATAACAAACAAAAGTGTGGGGGGAAAATAGTAATATGGAAGAACAATAGGGCTTTATTAGATATGAGTGACAAGTCACTGAGAGTCAATGAATCTGCGCCATTACTGAGAACGATTATGAGCTATATAACCCACTGTCTCCAGCCTCCATTGTTTCTCACCATCCTGAGGACCTTAACAACACTGGTAGTCTACACCACCCTCACTAAAGGGGTGGCTGGATTAAACTAACTGCTATGCATTTTATTGACTGATGAAGGCAAGTTTTCGTTTAACCACCACTACCTAGCTCTTTTTCAATCTCATAAATCCTATGTCGGCTAACATTGGTCGTCGAGGAAGGCGATCGACGGGTAGACATCAATAACACATGTCCTAATCACCTCTCTCAATCCATGTAACTTCACTACACAAACTCGTCCATTGACTTTCCTTCCAACTCACCTACCACTTTACCGAAGTCTAACCTCCTCAGTGTTACTCACCCTATTATACTACCACCTAACACAAACGGGAGATAGTACACACACACACACACACACACACAGATACCTATCATCCAAGACAGCTAGCTAGTCAGGCTTTTCATACCTCCTACTTTCAATGGGGCCCCATTCGACAAAGGAGGAAACAGTGTACTGCTACTGCTGAGCAGTACACACACACAATCCTTTTGATCGACAGCCAGAACGTGAAAGAATAAAATAAATAATAAATAAAAGTAGAGAGACAAAGGGGAAATACATTGAAACTGCAGTCAATGAAAATGTACTGTAACAGACGACAACTATTAGATGAAAAATAATAATAGTAATAATAATGAAGATTTAATGAATTGTATTGTGAACACGATTTTGATGCATATCACAACAACATTCACCAGCTACTGGATTCATCGAGGGAGGGGGGGTCTGCTTAGCCAGCCAGCCTACCACCACCACCTACGGGGCTCGAACTACTCAATTCCTATATAATAAAATAAATATTTAAAATAAGGAATAAACAAACAGTAATATAATAAATTAAAACTTACAAGTTCATTATCTGATGTATCATCAAATGCATAATCGAAACGAAATTGTTGATTTTCTAAATACTTAGTTAAATCAACTTTAGTTTTTGGTTCATGTACAAGAACATGCTGTTTATTCGGTACAGTTATCACATCAATTTCACGTCGACTAAGTTCTATTGTTGTTTTGTTGGTTGTTTGTTTTTTGTAAATTAGAGCAAAAGAAAGAAAGATAAAAAGAGATGTGATGACAGAGGAAAAGAGTATTACTTTTCTATATTTATTAAATATATCAAACAGTCTGTGAAAAAGTATTATTATTATTATTTACTGGATGACACAGCTGAGAACACCATTTATTTATTGTTCAAAATAATATTGCCAAAGTTATTATAACATGACTTCGAAACTTTCGTTGTACAGGTGTCGAATCATTATTCCTATTACACGTAATCTCGCCAGTTGATCCGATAAACAAATCTTCCGTTGTTATCAATCTCTCCCTCCACCCTGTTACAATAGATTTCCAAACTGTCATTTTATCCCATCCCATCCTATTGTATGATTGGTTGTGTGTAATTGCATGTAGTGAGTGCTATAGCTGAACTAACTATTCTCCAGATTTCTTATCTTAATACGGTCAACTAATCTAGATTTTGCTGCTAGGTTTTTGTGCTCCGCTAGTCTGACTGACTGACTTCGTTCCGCTACACTGACTGACAATCATTCCAGAAGAGTAGTAGGTAAACTATATTTTGTTTAACTGGTTCCACAGGATCCACCATTTAACCGACAAAGCCTGTTTCTAATTGAGTTTGTGGGCAGTTTGAATGCCAAACACTTTTATTCCTGCCTGTATTGTTAAGAATTCTCTGTAAGGTGGTTTCCGAGGTTCCTCCTTTCCATGGAAGTACTACTGATGGTGATTTAAATTCCCTATTGTTGGTGTTGTCATTATTCTGTTCATGTTTGACATGCATGTCGTCATTAATATTATTATTATACCTGTCACTAACATGATAATTATTAATTTTATTTTTACATTTTCCCACATACTTCCTGATTAATTTATCAAGAGAATTATTAAGTTTCAAGGTTTCTCGCATATGCCTCACTTCCTGTCTTAGATTTTCCTTGGTACTACTAAGTTTTTGTGCCCTATTGTCACTTAAACATTTCACCAATCCTATTTTTACTGAATTATGGTCGGATGATCCGAAATCCAAATATCAGTTTGAATGTGTGGGTTTTCTGTACACACAAATGTTTAACTTCCCGTCTTCTTTCCTTTTTACGTTACAATCTAACAAGTTTCGAGTGGAAAATAGGGCTTCAAGAGCACTTTGAGGTTTTCGGTAGCAGCGGTTTTACTTTTACGGGGGTAGGGTTGCTAGTCTGACGCCCAACCTTTCCTCTTTCCCAGCCTTACTACCACCGACTTAGCGAGGTTTAAGAATGCGTCAGCTAGGGGATCGAACCCCGGACCACATGCATGGCTGGCGAGCATTCTACCTCTGAACCACCGACCAACTTCTGAACGCATCTACAGCGGTTCGAATCCAGGACCTTCAGGTTACTAGGCGAGCTCGTAGACCATTCAGCTTTTAAGACCAATAAAAGCCGGCAACACCCGATATTCCCAGCCGGTCATCCATGCAAGTGTACTAACCGGGCTCAGCGTTGATCGGATGAGAACCGGCATTTTCAACACGATGATTATCTCACTTTCGAAAAAAAGTATTCTAAATGCACAACAACAGACTGAAGAATTTAAGAATCTGTTATAAACTAACCCTTTTTATTCATAGGACGTTTCCGTACACAAACGCATATTTGATGATCTTCTATCGGATCTGTATTTGTTAACGGTCGATAATCCAATGTGTTTCTGTATTCACTACATATGTGAAATAATAGAGGAAAAGATATAAATTGCACAAATATGATACTACACTTGAATATACATATATATATATATATATATATATATATATATAATTTCTTACACAGTAACAGATGCCATGTTGCCTAAGTCGTATCGATCAAGGTATGCTCACCGTAACAGTTGACTCACCATAGCCGCCATAAACAATGTGGGACGACTGAGGATGTGTAGGCTTCCGTCTTCCTCGTGAAATGCCCTCACGCGTTCATAGCCTCTGCCAGGCAAGTCCTACTCATTACTTTCACCCTGATTCCAAACCCATGATGCATATGGGTTCTATACTTCGGACACACAGAATAGCGAGTCAGTCTGTTTCGGTCACCGGAAACCACCGTGGGAACGTACCTGCTTCTGACGTTGTTCCACTATCTCTCTTGCGGATGAAAACTTCAAGTCAGTGGCTCGGAAGATGACCTCTTAAGATAACCACCTGCTTCAGTTTGTGCATCCGCGCAGCATCCCAGCTCTCACAAAGACTGAGATATTGTGTGGTCCATTTATCAGTGTCAATCATGTACCGACTGTGTTTTAATAAATACGAAAATCATAACTCATCATTGCAATATCCTTCCAATCTCCAGAGGGATATCAGTTACACAGATATTGAAGAAACATCTTACTATCGAGCGCCTGGAACCACAAAACCTTGATCCAGGGTGACTTACCTTCCAACTATTTCCACTATACTACACTACACCTCACTTCTTTCGTCAGTTGTATTAAATGATGTTAAGTTGAATATTGAAAAAAGAGAGAAACGGGATTTGCAACTGGTCAACTTGTATTACAACACATCTGAAGGAAATAAGCCATATCTCTCTCACTACCGAACTAGTTAGTTAGTTTGTACTCATTCACCAGGTACCGAGCTATCCACGTCGTGATACTACCCAGTTATTAAAAGCTGATGGTAGGGCGAGATTTGAATCCGAGAATCTATTGCCTAGAAGTCGCGTACTGAAGCCTCTACTCGACCTGCTAATAATATGTTGGTTACATAATTTATTGGCATGTTTTTTTTGTTTTATGAATTATGCTCATTTAAAGATGTACATATCTTTCTTTCTCCAGCAGCATTGTGTGTGTGTGCGTGTGTGTGCTGTTATTAATTGTGTAATGTTAGACTGAGAAAAAAGACCATTGGACAAAACTAAGTTCATCGATTAAAACTGTTTCAGGTTGACAACATTATACACATACAACACACACACACACACTTTCATTTATCGATCAATCGAACAGGACAGACTGGACTTAGCTGTTAACGCTTTACGCAATACAGGCGTAGATTTATCCATCAAAGAAATACCATTTTTTCCGACGACTGTAGAGTTACATATTTATATTTTATAGTAGAGAAGGTGGGGTCATACGAAAATCCTTAAGTCAATACACATGTGATAAATAACATTTGTTGATATTAGATGGTTGGAGGCGATCGGCCACAGGAAGCCTTAGACACAACCTAGGGTTTCGTGCTAGTCAGCACTCACCAGTCAACAAGGTTGGCGTATCTGGAGGAATTCTGAGATTCGAACCCGCGTCACCCAGTGCTGCAGTCAGAGACGTTACCACTGAGCTATTCGGGCTCGCGATTGACCTCCTGCAGGACTGTATTGAATACTTTGGACATGAGTTCCCTTGAAGCGGTAGCAGATATGCCTTGCTGACTGTTGAGTGCTAACTAGCACGAAACCTAGGTCCAAGGCATCCTACCAACTGCCTTCAGCCATCTAATATCATCAAATCAATGTGCACCATGACGGCGAGCTACCTAGAATGGTGGTCACATTGCAAAAAAACCTGACTGATAGAATTCAGTCTGCACCGAACGAAGGACTAGACACATCACACTAGTTACTAATGTCCAACCAAAATAAACAATTGGTGTTAACGGAGACAAGTTTGAAGTGGATGAAAAAGTACAAAATGTCACTAAAACAAATAGTTAATGATGGCGATCATTGAATCATTTGTTTATTCAAACTGGACTCCATATTGACGAGAGACAGGAAGCCCGTTATTGCTTAATTTTGCACTGGTTAGCAGAAGTATCGTTGGAGAATTACAATCAGAAGTATCATTGTACAATATATATTAACGTTTATTTACTGACTCTGGCACTGATCAACCATTTGTAAATCTGTTTCGTTATCGCTTGAAGAGTAAACAATCGTGTTGCCCAACCGTTTTCTGTTGTTTTCAGCGTCAGTTACCGTACATAATGCTCTGCGTTGCGTATTAGGCTTAGTCTTCTGAAACCAGTGATAGGTCCAGGATCTTTACGATCTGGATATTTGACATAAATTATTTGACCTTATGAGACAAAAGCGCGATCGAGAATTCTCAGAAAGGTTAAATAACAGGAAGAAGAAAAAGAAGAATAGCAATACAAATGGCAAAGAGAGGAAAGAACAATTCAATGTAGGAAGACGGTCACTATATTCAAGTTGCCACATTCCATGTAGCAGTACACAAGAGTAGACAAAAGTGAGAGTAAAAAGGGATTCAAAAATGTACTATACGCAGGCAGAAATGTGAGGGAGAAAAAAACGGTTACAATGGGAAAAAAACATTACGGTTTAATGGGTAAATATTTCACCAACCAGACTGAGTGATAGGGATCCTCGCAGACAACTGAACAGCTGATTAGTTTCGATAACCCGACACTACATTCTAACAGTGATTACATTTACTTTAGTGGAACATTTTGCAATGATATAATTACTTGATACAATTGAAATGACATCGCACATTCTACTGGAATGAATAACAATCAGACTTGATCAACTTCAAAATCAATTAATTGTGATAAGGAAGGATAAAAAACAAACAACAACAAACTACTTACTGAATCATCATATGAAATTCATAGCTTGGATTACTAGGATCTAAGTCGATTTGATCACGAACTGCTTTTTGTGCAGCACGTCGTTCTTCACGTCTTTGTTGTATGCGTTCAATTTCTTTAACACAATTCGACTTGCGTAAAGTCCCGCTTCCACCGGTACCTGCTACTGCTGCCCCAGTTGTTGCTCCAGTGATATTAGTATTATTTATTATTGTATTGTTTACAGCCAGTGTATTATTTACATTAGATACGCCTATATTGGAAGGTGCACGACCTGTACAGAAAAATAAAAGAGGCGAAAGGCAATCTGAATCAGATTCTTTAAGGTATCTTAATATTGATCGGAAGATTTCATCATGAGCTGATATTAGTTAGAGAACCATTGGAAAACCAGCAGTACTAGACAGCTGTTTTGTCAGTCTAGTTTCGGACCAACTCTTCATCAGTACTCATCCACTCTCCGGGGTTCAAACCCAGGACCTTCTGGTTACAAGGCGAGCTAGCTCGTAACATTAAGCCACTGGGATCCAATCCAATGACCAGCGCATGAATTCTAACTTCTGCTAATTCATGACATAGCGCGACCATTTCGCAATGTCTTCTTCGATGTGTCACCTTCAACCTGCTGTACCCTACTGGTCACGGCTTCCCACTGTAACCAAAGAAGACAAGGACCAGGCAACAGATCGTTTATTGAAAAAATTAACAGATATTTATATATTTTTATGTACATAATTATTCGTTATTTTAGCAGAGAAACAGCGTCTTCTGATTAGTCGTTTTCTCACTGGAAGTTATTCTGTTATCTCTTTGTCGCTGTTTCTTTGAAGGTCAGATCATATATCTGCGAATCGTATCCGCCCACGCGAAGTCTTTCTTCTTGCTTTTCCCATGATCAAGATTTGGGACGCAAATATTGACGTAAATTGCTGTCTACCAATTTGGTTAACAGACAGCTCTCACCGCACCACTAGAACCCCAAGTTAACTGCCTGAATAGGGCCAGTCGCTAATGGGCATCTTAATATCTTGGAATAAATTATTATTATTAAAAAAATTACTGTTCCCTTGGGTCCCGAGTGGAACATAGGTCTCCAACAACACATCTCCACTTCGTCCTATTTCCTGCTGTCCTCTTCGGCTGACGCGTGGGCCACGATTGCCCATAGTCTCTCATCTCCTCCATGTCACCTTCGGACCCACATAATCAACTCGTCGTTTCCCGTTCGGGTTCCACTCGAGGTATCGACGGTCTCCTCAATGGCAAAGGTGTCCTCCACCAATCCCTCTTCATTTTCTTCTACATATTTGTTAAGCAAAAAGTTCTTGGTTAATTTGTTCCAATAGTTTCTTGGAATCAATAGCACAGTGTAATATTCACGCATAAATGAAAATACACTAATATCAGGAGGTAACAAACAATGTACCAAAGATTTTCTGAAAGACAAGAAATTTGATAACCTACTATCCTTAATGCCTGTCAGTCAACGCCACGACGCATAAAAGCTACACATATGACACCGAATCAATTGAAAAGTAAGCGCCTATCTATATATATATATATATTCAATGTGTACAACAAAAACCATCCATTGTTTCAAAGAAGGAAAAGCAGCAAAATATGCATAAATTATTTTTAAAAAAGGGATAGGATAACTACTCAACACATACCAGTTGGCCGACGTGATATATCACCCCACCACCAGCGATAGCACGATTTCCATTACTTATGATTGGAACAATATTATCTTCACTTGCATCACCATTCTCTTCATCCATCCATTCACCTAACAGTATGCTGCTTTCTGTTTCACGAGGGATATTTGAAAAGTGCTGATAATTATCTTGATCAACTAATGTACGAACAACAACAGTAGGTTCAGATGGTTCCACCAAGTCTTCATCCATAGGTTCTCCAGTGATTGGGCGTTGCTGTTGTTGTTGTTGATGATGTCCAGCAGCAGTATTATGACGGAATGCTATAAAATCACAGTGGGGTTAAATACAAATGACAAATACAGAGTCTTTTTTCAAATACGCATAATATTTGGTTATCACTTTAAATATAAGTCTGAAAACTGTAATATATCATTTTTGCAGTTTGAAATCGGATGGATATCAGTTAGAGAACCATTGAAAACCAACTGGGATTACTGGAAGGCTGTTTTATCCTAATTGGCGATTCAGCGGCAGCATGCCTCCACCACCAGGGTTCGAACCCAGGACCTCCCGGTTTCAAGGCAAGCTAGCTCGTATACCATTAAGACGTTGGGACCGGCCGATTCAATGGCCAACCCATGAATTATTATTTCTACCAATTCGTGATTTAGCGCGACTGCTGGCGCCAACCAATGTCATTGGTGGGACATCCATCCTCACACTCGACCGAATGAACCTCACTGGTCATGACTTCTCACTAGAACTTACTCCAGAAAACTCCATCCTGTAGCAAGTCACTAGAGACCATCAGATTAATTTTTCTATAGTTCATTTGTAAAGATTAGAGTACTGCCAGACAGCTGTTTTATCAGCCTAGTTTGGGAATCATCAGCAGTACGCCAATGAAAACATTTCTTTCCTGTAGGATATTATTTAAAGAGTATATTCACCAGCTGACGAGTTCTACCGAAATTAATGAATTAATTAAGAGTAGTAGTTAGTTGATTAGTTAGAACTCAGCTGTTTGAAACATATTTTTTCATGTATCAGGCAATGATGCGTGTGTGTGTACACTTGTTGTAGACGGCTAAGGATACTGCCTAGTATTTACACAAACTGGGAGAGAGGGATTTCAACTCAGAAACTCATTGGCTAAAAAGTCATATCTCTCATTATAATCTAATTTTTTTTATTCTTCTACTTTCCGAGTGGAACATAGGACGACTTCAAGCTAGAGCTTTGAAGTTTCAGTAGCAATGGTTTTATGTCAACGAGGTTTTATGTTAATTTCACGCCCAAACTTCCCTCCTTACCGGTCTTACTATCGGCTTAGCGAGGTTAAGGAGTGTGCATCGGCCGGGAGTTGAACCCCGGACCACGTGAGGAGTGGTTGGCAAACATCTTAGTTCATTGGGACCAAAACTATTACATACTTCACATGTGACCGAATGGATGACAGTATTGAATTCCCGACTGTTGGGATTAAATCATCCCATATTTGATCCTCTTGAGGTTTACACAGCCAAAGACAAAACAAAATAGACTAATATAACAACCTTATAATGCATTAAACTCTAGAGACGAGGATACATGTCTGTGTTAAATGTATAAAAAAAATGGCTAACAAGAAGGGATAGTTGTACAGACAATGAAACATACTTTTCTATAGTTGGTTTGTAAGGATTAGTTTTGTATTTACGAGTTGATCACGATTGATATCAGTTAGAGAACAATTGGAAACCAGCACTGGAGTACTGGAAAGCTGTTTCATCCTAGTTTGGGAAACACCGTAAAAAAAAAACTAATCCTTACAAAGCAACTCTTGAAAATTAATCTGATGCTTTCTAGTGACTTGCTACAGGACTGAGTTTCCTGTTCTAGTAAGTTCTAGTGAGAAGTTGTGACCAGTGAGGTCCATTCGGTCGAGTATGAGGATGGATGTCCCACCGATGACATTGGTTGGTGCCGGTCGCGCTAAATCACGGACTGGAAGAAATAATAATTTATGGGATGGCCATTGAATTGGCGGGTCCCAACGTCTGAATGGTATACGAGCCAGCTTGCCTTGTGACCGGGAAGTCCTGGGTTCGAACCCTAGAAGTGGAGGCGTACTACCGATGAAACAGCCTTCCAGTACTCCCAGTTGATTTTCAATGGTTCTCTAACTTATATCAATCCGTGATCAACTCGTAAAAATAAAGCATACGCCTTTGGTTAGATTGTATAAATTGACCAGTTATTTAATTATTCAAACAAGTTACAATGAACCCCATAGAAAGCTTTCTCTTCTTCTCTCTCTCTCCCTCTCTCTGGTTGCTCTAACAACGTGGTGTGCAAAAAAAACAACAAAAATACCAAGCGAGGAAACAACATTCAGAGAAGGATAAACATAAAGGAAAAAGCGTAAATATTCATGCGCCTATGTAAAAGTGTATTAGATATCATTACTTAAAAGCTGAAACAACCAACAAACTAATTCAAGATAAGCAAAAGGCAACACTGATCAATACATTAAACGAATAAGTACAAATATGTAGAGTAGTACCTACTTTGAAAAATAATCACAAAGCAGACTAGACTGACTGACCGACTGACTAATTAAGTTTCCGTGAATCTCGTAGATCACGAGAGTGAAAGAGAGAATGCAACTCCACCACCCCTACCACTGAGAACCACTTTTAGGGAAATATCACTAAGAGTCTAGTCATGTGCATTCTTAGCACTGACCAGCACCGCAGTCAAGTAATCTACAACCTTATTTTTATTTGATTCCAAATAACACTAAAAAACTTCATGGCCTGATACCAATCCTGTGTCAGCTAACATTGCTCGAAGAGGAAGCCGACGGCTCAGTATGTCAAGCAGACTAAACGTGATATAGTCTGAATATCGATCGCCAGCTCATTGATGGCTACTGGATGGATGTCTTCAAGCTGTACTAAGAAGCCGTGACCAGTGAAGTCCATAACATGAAGGTGAAGTGGATGCTCCTCGAAGAGGCACAGATGAGGGGGGGGTAGCGCTAGCCAATCACCTATTGTCAAAGAAGGAATTCACAGGCTGTTGAGTTCCAATCCAAGTCGCTGTGAGATCAACGGGCTTGATCTCAATTCCTGATAGGTTCGTGCGTGCGTGCGTGCTGATGAAAAGTCCCTAGATGGGACTGATTCTCTTATTAGTGTTGATTCCTGACGAAGTCTACATTGAAGGTTGAAAAAACCAAGAGTGACAACCCCCATACTGGGAAAGACTTGAAAAATGAAATGTTGCGTAACAATCGCTTGCAATTCCATGTATTTGGCAATGAGCCACGCATACTGTGTGACGGCTAGTGTCATTCATCATTACCTGGCTGCTGTTCAAATCTTAGTCGATGGAGAGCAGGCTTTTCGAACTCGTAGCCGACTGATTAGATAGAAGTCGATCAACTTAAACTAATGAGCCAATGATCCACCTTACGAAAAGACTGCCAAGTAAAACGGAAGAAATAAGTATGTGGGACCTGAGTGAAAATCAAAACCCTTGAAAATAATACTGCAGTGAACACAATATTCACATTGTACAGTTAACTATCCTGATATGGGCCTACAACAGTGTTGACGGCGAAGTAATTGGAAAATTACTTCAACACTATGTCATGCAGCACCCCAAATCTCCATCAACCTCATTCATCAGTTCGCTATATGACAATGCCTGCCATGTGTCACGTGATCCACAACGGAAAACTCAGCGAGGCGTTCGAAGTGAATACAGGAGTAAGACAAGGCTGTCCGCCTATTATCGCCAAATAACATTCCTGATTGTGGTGGACTGGATTATACATCAGACTGTGGGGAGCGAGGAGACAGGAATACGCTGCACTGATCGATAAGAACACCCTAGAAGATCTGAATTTCACGCGTGAATGATTTATGTTTAATGTCACACAAACTCGAAGACTTGCAGGCGAAAGCCAACAATCCGGCTGAAGACGCTGGCAGCGAAGACATGAATCCAGGTGAACATAGAGAAGACGGAGGTGATGAAGATAACCAACCAGCAGCAACCACTATCTGGCTAGGAAGCATGGTTTCAGCCAAAGGCAATTCGGAACGGATGAAGATGTCAAAACCAGCCAGAATCGGAAAGGCGAAATACGCGTTCATCAACCTGAAATCAGTTTGGAGATCTGCTTCACTCAGCCAGCATAAACAAGAAGCTTCGAATTTTCAACACAAATGTGAAGTTAGTCAGTCAGTTCTTCTATACGGGTCAGAAACTTGCACTGCGTGTCACGAAAAGCATTTCCAACAGGCCAGTGCATCCTTCAATCGACAGTTGCCATCGCTGGCTCCCTATTGAAGATCAAATGGCTGACCAACCGGAAAGAATCAGCAACAAGAAACTCTAACAATGAACAAACTAACCAAGAGCCGATTGTTTAACAAATATGTAGGAGATAATGGAAATGGATCAGACGCATGCTGCTGAGGAGGCCGTCGAATGACATCGCGCGCCAGGCCATCGCTCGTGTAGAACTCAAATGAGAAACGACTACCTGGGTGTAAAAATCCGAAGGTGACATGAAGGAGATCGCGTTGCGCAGAGGAGATGAGAGATTATGGACAATCGTGACCCCTGTTAGTTGAAGAGGACAGCAGAGAATAGAAGAAAGTGGAGATGTGTTGTTCAAGCCTTATGTTCCACTTGGAACCCAAGGGAACAATATATATGTATACATATACACATATATATATAAAAAACTTGGAGGATCTGGACTTCGCCGATGATATATGTCTGATTTCCCACAAACTGGAAGATATGCAAGCGAAAAGCAACAAGTTGGCAGAAGAAGCATCAAAGATAGAACTTCAGGTGAACATAGAGAAAACAGAGGTGATGAAGATTCCTGGGCAACACCATCAACAGCAACAACAACAGACAACAATCAGCATTAATGGGAGGAACCTGGAAGAAACAATCTCTTTTACCCACCGACCTGGGAAGCATCGTTTCAACTACAGGCCGACGGAACTGACGAGGATATCAAAGCAAGGATCGGAAAAGCAAGACAAGCTTTCATTACTCTCAAATCTGTGTGGAGGTCAACAGCACTCAGCATCAAAAATAAGATCCGGATTTTCAACTCCAATGTGAAATCAGTCAGTGCTACTATACGGATCAGAGACTTGCACTGCGCGTCATAAAGAGCACCTCAAACAAACTACAAACCTTCATTAACAGTTGTTTTCGCTCAATACTCAAGATCAGATGGCAGGCCAGGAAAGATCAGCAACAGGGAGATATCTGGGAGCGAACCAACCCAGCAGGAACCGATTGTGAAACAAATAGGCAGGAAGAAATGGAGATGGATTGGCTGGCCATACTCTGAGGAAACCATCAAGTGACATCACTAGACAAGCCATTGCTCGAGTGGAACCCGCTGAATGGGAAGCGGTGAGTTGGTCGTCAGTGCAAGGGTGACTTGGAGGAGGTCATGTGAAGAGGAGATGAAAACGTGTGGGCAGACTTAGAGCCAGGTGAAGACTCTAGCAGAGAACCGAACGCCATGGAGACGCACGGCTGAAGCCCTATGTTCCTCTAGGAATTAAAGGAAACAATAATATAATAATGATATATATACATATATATATATCATTAAATAAGATGAAATGAAATCATAATTTCATACTACCTTTCGCAATCTTCTCATCGATTAGTGCTGATTATGGATCAAAGAGCTAGTTTATATATATATATATATATATATATATATATATATATATATATATAATGGTGTATGTAATATACCAAGAGTTTAAAACCAAGACAATGTATGTAAACACGAACACACACACATACTTTTTTATATAATTCACAAACTATATTAACCATTTCGATTGTACTTGCAAAAACTCTAAAGTGGAAAATATTATTACAACAACACAGTAAGAAGAAGAAGAATAATACTTTTGCTATAGTAACGAATAATAATAATAATGATAAAGTTTGCATAGCATAGCAGTAGCATAGCATAGCAATAGCATACTACCACTGAGAAACATAAAAGATAAACAAACCTTCATTATACGTTTGATTTGTATCCATAGATGCTTGAGGACGAAAGGAATGCGTTGGACGATCATCATAAGCTCCCATTGTTGTAGAACGTTTAGCAGTATGACTAACTGGCAGACGAGAGGATCCTACAGTGAGACGAGTTGACGGAGGGATTAAGCGTGATTGATTATTAGACGACGAGGAATAGTCTACTTGTGTACAATTGACTTTAGGCGGTACATTAGAAGAAACTGTAGTATTGGTACTAGTAGTAGTAGAAGTAGTGGTAGTAGCAGCGGGAGCAGCAGCAGCAGCAGGAACAGAGGAAGGCTGTAGTGGATATGATAAGGGTGTTGAATTCCGGTGGATTTCATTAGCTTGATTCGAAGCAGGACGATGTGAGGGAGCAGGAATTTCTTTAGCTGAATGACTACGACTGTTATCGCCAGTCCCACAAACATCATCTGTGAGAGGCTAAAATTTTGTGTTTTGCAATCATGATGAAAAAAAATGAAAGATTATTATTTTATTGAATTTAGAAAATTTTTTTCAGAAACCTCTATACAAAATACAGATCGATATTCAAATGTTCGTTTGCAGGGATTTGATTGGTTATAGGATTTCATCATGAACTGACATCGGTTAGAGGACCATTGGGCAATCTGGGAGTCCTGGGCAGCTGTTTCTTCAGCCTGGTATGGGACTCTTCAGCGGTACGCACCCACCACAGGGGTTCGAACCCAAGACCTTCTGGTTACCAGGTGAGCTCTTAGAACGTCCTAGGTTCGAATCTCAGTGGCTGCGTACTGATGAAGAGTCCTAAGCCAAACTGACGAAACAGCTGTCCAGTACTCCCAGGTTTTCCAATGGTTCTATAACCGATGTTAGTTCATGATGAAATCCTGAAAAACAGACCGGTTAAAAAGAATAGAAAATTTATCTAGTGAATGATAAGTACTCATTGTAGACTGCTACCAAGCCGCCTTCAGACTGTTTCTTTATCTAAAACCTATCGAGTGCAGTTCACTACTACTGATACGATAATTTTTAAGCCCCTGACATAAGAAAGGGGTCAATTGGGTAGCTACAAAACTAAAAAAAGAGTACGCCATGGTAGTCTGTGATCGATTTCATGCTTCTGAATGGAAAAGGTGTAAAAGTAGAAAGATAAATTCTTTTGAAATGGAAAGCAGTCTAAACATGTCGCCTTTCTGAACAGAGAATAGCAAGAAGTCATAGAAAACTAGTTCCAAATATGCCAAGTAGTATGACGTCATCTGTGTAGTGGTTATGTACCGACTAATTTATTTCTGAGAAATATAAAAACCTTAAAGAGGTCGCTTCAATGCCACTCAAGAAAAAAAAGAAAAAAATCAATTCTTGAAGAATCTTTATTGTGCTGCGGATCAAATCAAAGAGTGTTTACGGTGGTAAAGATGCACTCACTAATTGGCATCTTTCAAAATGTTCAAAGTGTTCGCTAACCTCCTCTCTCTCTCTCTTGTACATCACTATATACTATGGTTTTATTATATATTTTTCTAATACTTTTATGTATGCGTTTCCAAAGTGAGCTGCTGCCGGTTTGAACTAATGTACTATTGTGCGATGTTTCATGTTAAGTCAGTCACTCTGATTATTTACTTTATTCCTTTGCGTTCCCAGTGGAACATGGGGCAGCTTCAAGCTAGAGCTTTGAAGTTTCAGTAGCAGTGGTTTTATGTTTACGGGGTGAAGTTGCTAGCCTCACGCCCAACCTCCCCTCTTTACCGGGCTTGCTGCCTCCTCCTCAGCGAGGTATAGGAGTGCGTCGACCGGGAATCAAACCCCGGACCTTTAGCGTTGTTAGCGAGAGTTCTACCACTGATGGTCACTTAGTACTCATTAACATAGAGAAAAGGGTTCATGAGAATAGGAACACATTATTTGGCATCATCCGAACTACTGTCATTGAAAGCCTGACAGAGAAGAGATATCAGGTGTATTTTTTTTATTCCTTCATGTTCCCAGTGGAACATAGGGCTTGAAACCAGAAGCTTGAAATTTCTGTAGCAGTGTTAATTTTTACAGGATGGGGTTGCTAGCCACATGCCCAACCTTTCCTCTTTACCAGCTTTATTTCTGGCCTAGCGAGGTAAAGGAGTGCGTTGGCTGGGGATTGGACCCCGGACCATGTGCATGGTCGACGAGCGTCCTATCCACTATGCCAACGAAGCACCCGAGAAGCGATTTCGAACGGTCTTAATATTCTAGCTGTTATATATATGTCATCATCATCACCATCCAATTACTCTAAAACGAAACTGACCAATGAACGGATTGGTGACCTTGAGCAACCAATCAGATATCTCCGTAGTATACATGCGAAATTACATGTGCTGTATACGAATCACGGAGCAAATATAGACAAGAGGATCATAGGAAGGGAGAAAACGTTTAGCCAACTGTCATCCCTGGGCTGTATTCACAACGTGGTCAATCATACAGATGATTTCGTTAATGCTTTTTACCGGATTCACACAAATTCTATCGAAAGTTTCTGGAGTCACTTAAAAAAACAGTAACAGATCAATGAGTGAGTGAATGGGTCAAGAAACACGATGACTTACAGTTATCTCGACAAATTCATGTCCAGAAATTGGTTTAACCCAACTATGAGTAGTACTATGGGAAAATGGGAGGGTTTCTTGGAACATGCACGAGAACATTATCCTATGTAACTACTTTCTATCAATGTATTACTTTTATATAAGTGTTTTTCCCTTCAAATTGCACACTTCCACTTCGGACGCATCTGATTGGTCGATAGAGATCAAGGTCAAGGTCTTTATTAGGTAGTTTTCTGTCAGGCTGCTATCTATCTAGTTTATGCAGTTACCGTGATGATTTCTAGATATACTTCGATAAAGTAAGAAAGACTTAATTTACAGCATACAACCTGACTGCCTGAAATCATTATAACAATTGAATCAGCCATATTACCTTTTCTTCATTCATACTGGTTACATTGTATTACTTAATCTAAAATTACGCTGTTAACATGTTATTAACGGAAAAAGTAGGGGTGCGGGGGGCCGGGGACGGCGGAGGGGACAGTGAGTAGTTAACAGAGTGAAAATTATTATGAATTTGAAACTTGATAAACATCACAGACACAGTGTGAGGAGAAACTTACACCTGTATATTTTAAATTTGGATTCAACTGAAAGATAGCTTCGAACTCTATCTACAAGGAAATCAAATAGTGAAAAGAAATAAAATATTAAAGAATTAGATTGGCATATTAAACAGTTACAGTTAAAGCATTATACAGACACAGATGCAAAATTTTAGAGTAGTGATTCAATATAATTCCACCTTAGTTGGTTTATTAGGGGTATATCACACAGTCAGTGAAACAGTATTATTGATTACTGGATGACAAAGTTTCGAACACAATTTATTACTGTTCATAATCACATCGCCAATTATAATCACACAACTTCGAAACTTGAGTCTAATAGTTTTCTTTACTCTTTCCTGCTCGTCGTCGAAGAGATAGTAGAATTCTCCAGATGTCTGGGTGGACAGGTGTTGAATCATTCCTATCATACGTACTCTCTTCAGTTGATTCGATAAATAAAGCTTCCGTTATCAATCTCTCCCTCCACCCTGTTACATTAGATTTTAAAACTGTCATCCTATCCCATTCTATTGTATGGTTGTGTATAATTGCATGTAGTGAGTGCTGTAGCTGAACTAACTATTTTTTGAATTTCTTATCTTATTCGGGTCAACTAATCTAGATTTTGCTGCTAGGTTTTTATGCTCCGTTAGTCTGACTGACTGACTCCGTCTCACTACTTTGACTGACAATCATTTCAGCAGGGTAGTAGATAAACTAAATTGTTTTGTTTAATTGGCTCTACAGGATCCACCATTTAATCGACAAAGCTTGTTACTAATGGAGTTTGTGAGCAGCTTGAATGCCAGCCACTTTTATTCCTGCCTGTATTGTTAAGAATTCTCCGTAAGGTGGTTTCCGAGGTTCCACTAATAGCGATTTAAATTCCCTATGGTTGGTGTAATCATTATTCTGTGCATGTTTGACATGAATGTCCTTATTATTATTATTATTATTATCACCATCACTACCATTATCATTAATTTTATTTTTACATTTTCCTTCCTACTAAAGTTTCAAAGCTTCTCTTATATGACTCACTTCCTGTCTTAGATTTTCCTTAGTACTACTTAAATTTTGCGCTCTACTACTACTTAAACATTTCACCAATCCTATTTCTACTGACATAGGATGGGATGATCCGAAATCCAAATATCCATTTGAATGTGTGGGCTTTCTGTACACACTAGTGTGTTTTAACTTTCCATCTTCTTTCCCTTTTTAAGTCACAATCTAACATTGGGAGCTCCTCCTCTTCTTGACTTTCCAATTCATAAGTGAATTGAATTGTCTCTACCTTTAAGTTGATGTGTTCAAAAAACACGGTGAATATGTCATCTACATACTTCCACTATACACCCATCCTTGACATCTGGAAAATTCTACTACCCCTATGACGACGAATAGGAAAGAATAAAGAAAACTACAAAACGGAAGCTTCGAAGTTGTATGGTTTATAATTGGCGATATGATTATGAAGAATAATAAAGTGTGTTAGAAACTTTGTCATCCAGTAAGCAATAATACTGTTTCACTGACTGTGTGATGTATCCAATAAACAAATTAATATGGGATTACACACTACCACAGTGCCCAAGTTTTACACGTATATTAAAATAGTGATTCAATATATTCTATGCATCTGCATACTAAATAGAAAATTGGGAGCAGTGATTCTACATCTAACCGTTCAGTCACAGGTTCGAACCCCATTTCATCTACTGAAGTTTAGACAGGCAGTATCATTAATCCTCTCATATATAAATGAGTGTGCTTTCTACATTATAATGCATGGTTAATCCTCATCCCAACATTAATGAAAACAAAACACGTAGTTCAGCGAAGAGTCTCTTTTCAGCGAATTCATTTTCTTAGCTGTGCAATCGCAAACATATATGTTATTTTGTATGTATGTGTACATTAAGTTTGTCAAACAAAAATACAATTGGCTATGGTTATTTTAACTAAACAGGTGAAGATTGGTAATTGGAGTTACGTAATACAAAATCAGTCAAGAAAATTAGATGTTAATGAAATTACGGTAGTAACAAAGGTGATGAGTTGTCACAAACAATTGTTAAAAAGAAGTTATGTAATAATATGAATAGTTTGATGATTGAGTTTTACTCAGGATAAACATAGAAACAAAGTAGAGAATACGAAATTACGTAAGAGTTCTAAATGAATAGAAGAATTATAAGCAATTAAAAAACAGGCAAACAAACAAAATTAAGTCATCAAATCAACAAAGTTGTTACCATGACAGTAGAAGTGGTTGAGTAATTCTCTTTTGTATGCACAGCTCCGGTTTTTCTATGTGAATGGACGGCCAGAGCTTCAGCGATACAAAGAAGACGAAACCGTATTGCCTTTGTTAGGTTATTCTTGACTCTGTAGATTACTTTGAAGGAGGCGTTTGTTGAGATGGAATGATCAGTGTTAACAAGGTGTTCAATTATCGCACTCCTTATTGCACCACTATTGCCTTTTCGCAACCATGCTGGATAGTGTTCTTGAATCCTCTTGGACAGGGTGCGCGTCGAACGACCGATGTACCTGGCTTTCCACAGCAGCAGGTGAACTGATATATGCACATAGAAGTGGTCAGATGCGGGATCTTGTCCTTGAGGCTTCTGCAGATCAGTGGGCGACTGGAGAACACTATTCTTAGCGTTGCTGCAAAGAATGTTCTTCTCAGAGATGATGTGATCCTTCTCTTGAGAATATCGCTTGCTAAATCTCCCTTGAAATCCAAGTTCATGTAGAGTTTCTTTTTTGGCGCAATTAAAGTTTCGTTTCTCCGAATTCTTGGTTTGATATTTTTGTCAATGAATCTTATTGGGTATCCATTTTGGATGAAAATTTCTCTTAGAATATCTAATTCTGTTTCCAGAACGTCGGGACTACAGATGCGTCGGATGCGGGTGGCAAGTGATTTAATTAAATTCCGCTTTTTTGAATGGGTACCCAACTATAGAAGCTTGTTAGTTGACCATTCCAAGTAGCTTTTCTATGGATCGATCTTCTTAGGCTCCCATCAGTTCTTCTTGTTAGTTCCACATCAAGAAACGGAATTTTTGATTCGTTTTCCATTTCAAGAGTGAATTTTATTGCTGGATGGCAACAGTTAAATGTCTTCAGCAGTAGATTAGGGTCATTGTTGTTGTCACAAATAATGAATATGTCGTCTACGTATCTTTTATACAGTCGTAAATTGTCAATGCTCGGCTTTAGTGGACCTTTCTCGAGGCTTGCCACGAAGCAATCTGATAGTAGTGGACCCAACGGAGATCCCATTGCAATACCATCTTTTTGTCTGTAGATGGTGTCGTTGAAAGTGAACTGGACGTTCAGAGTGCACCTCTCAGTAGTAATTCCTTCAAATATGTTGTTGGTATTCCAATACTGAGATGGTTATCATCTATATATTTACATATAAAGCAGACCGTTTCTGTGAGTGGGACATTGATGAAGAGTGACTCAATGTCGAAAGACAGCATAATTTTGTTAGATACATTCAGGTCTTGTATGCAGTCGATGAACTGGAAGGTGTCACGGAGTGAATGCGTACACAATTGTTTCCTTACAGGTTCCAAAATGTCTGCCAGCCATTTTGCAATAGAGTGAGTGGTAAGGGGAACCTGACATATCCAGAATTGGACGAAGTAGGAGACCAACCTTGTGTACCTTTGGTAGACCATAAAGTCTTGGTATGTCTTGTTGCATGTGTTGGTTGTTATATAGATCCCAACCAAATAATTTACACTTTCTCACATGATGTGAACCCATAATCAATAACTGCATGAATCGGTGTCATGCAAACACAATATGTAATGAACTTTTTTGGTTAGTTAGTACAAGAATCAAAAATAAAACAAAATGAGTATTTGTCGATTTGCTGTTTTCTGTACTTTGAGTCATAAGATGCATAAAAAGTCAGGAAACTAACCTCGAACACCAAAGGTATTTGTGCAAGGTTGGTTTGACCACCAGAGTGGGAGGTGATAACTTCAGCTTGCTACATACCTATGTTATCATGCTAATTAGTGAGACAGGAAATAGAAATGGATGCAAGAATCACAGAAGAATTAGCCGAAAAGCATAAGGTTTCAGGATGTGATCGTAGACTGACTGACTGACTAGTTTCAACATAGAACCTTGCACAGATGTGCAGCAGTTCGAGTTGCCACGCTCCATTTGGCTCACAAAGCAAGAGAAGAGAGTAAGGGAGGTTGAAAAGGGAGATATGATAAATCACAAAGAGTGAATGCATCTGCGCTGTCATTGACAACGATTTTCAACCACATCATCAAGTATCTCCAGCTGCCGCCATTGGTTCTTACCATCTCTAGGACCCCAACCAGGAAATGTACATCTCCCTACGTGTCTGGCTTAAACTAACTGTTATGGATTTCATTGACTGATGAAGTCATGATTTCATTTGACCACCACTACCTAGCTCTTTTCCAACCTGATCTATCCTACGTCAGCCAGCTAACATTGCCTGTTGTCGAGGAAGGCGATAGATGGCTAGGCTAGGCATGTGCAATAACACATGTCCTAACCATCTCTCTCAATTCATGTAACTTCACTACACAACCTCGCCCAATGACTTTCCCTTCAACTCACCTACCACTCTCCACCGAAGTCTAATCTCCTCAATATTACTCACCCTATTATACCACCACCTATCACCCAATACACACGGGAGATAGAATGCAGGCATCTATGACGAAAGACAGCTAGCCAGGCTTTTCGTGTCTTCTACTCTCAACGCCTATGTCTCAATCACAGCCAGCCATAAAGGAAAACTCAGAGAACTGCTGAGCAGTTTGGTCCTTTGGCCGACAACCGGGTATCACACCTACGCCAGAGATACCGTAAGTTGGCTGACAAATGCCAAACCAGCCTTCTGTATCCGTGTTGAGATTTCGTCAGCCACCAACCCAAATAAGTCAAGTGGTCAAGAGGCTCCACCAACCACTTCACTCCCCTTTGTCTTTAAGCTAGAAGTCGATGTAGTCCAGTTCAGTCCTGTAGCATCATCTTACATTTGACAGCAGGAGCGAATTGCATGCCAAACATTCGAAGATTGCTCGCTGCTCAAGGTGTTCAGAAGACTCTGTTCTATTGTGTCAGTGTCTTCACCTAGAGGACTATATCATCTGTATATTCTAAGTCAACGAGACTACTATTCCTTGGTGGTAAATAAGTCAATCCCTGGGTTGCGGAAGTCAGTTACGGTTAAATCCATTAGTACATCTTGTGATCATAGAAGAATTTGATAACAGTAAGACCAAAACAGAATCTGAGCAGGTTATAGATCTGATTTGAGGTATCAAAAGAAACTCTACTCTTCTCTCCTAGATCTTCAAACAAATTTCAATTAGAACAACAAATGCAAGTAAATTTCAAAGCGATTTCCGCTTCAGCAAGCCTTCAGCTTCAAGAACTCATTTGAGTAATTTAAATCCAATAGAATTCCCACGAGATTTTAAAATATTCAAGATTCACTAAGTAAAAACGCAAACAGAGCACATGTAAGCACAAAAACAAAACAAAACCCAACTTCATAGGAAAAAAATAAAGCTAGATGAAAAAAAAATTGGTTACAGGATTTCATCATGAGCTGACATTGGTTAGAGAACCATTGGAAAACCAACTGGGAGTACTGGACAGCTGTCTCGTCAGCCTAGTTTGGGACTCCTCATCAGTACGCACCCACCGCCAGGGTTCGAACTCAGGACCTTCTGGTTACAAGGTGAGCTAGCTCGTATACCATTAAGCCACTGGGACCCGATCCAATGGCCAGTCCATGAATTCTAACTTCTGCCAATTCACGATATAGCGCAACCGCTAGCCAATGTCTTCGGCGAGTAGTTGTCCTCAGACCCCAACCCGCTGCACCCTACTGGTCACGACTTCCCACTAGAACCCCAGGTAACTACCTACCTGAATAGGGCCAGTCGCCAATGAGCATCTCATTGATATTCAAGTATTGGTTTGTAGGGATTTGGTTGATTGGTTAAAAATAGGATAAAAATCAGCGTTACAAATACATACATACACATACGAATGTTAGTTTTATAATAAACTGTCTCATAATGAATTGTTAACAAATCAGTTAAATTGTACACTAATGAGATTACCTCTTTTCCTTTGGCTTCTCCTTTCTCATACCACTCTACCGTTACGCTTTTTGAGGTGGTATTAATGCCACTCACAATGGCTGAATGCACCCGACCTAAATATACCAGAAAAGAACCAATAGATATTGTACTCTTCAAAGTAAATTGAATATATATATATATATATATATATATACATTGATTGGACACTACTAACTAGTGTGACGTGTCTAGTCCTCCTCCTATCTTTGGTGCAGACTGAATTATCTATCAGTCAGGTTTGCAATGTGATGGCAAGCTACCTAGAATGGTGGCCACATTGCAAACCTGACTGATAGATCAATTCAGTCTGCACCAAAGATAGGAGGAGGACTAGACATGTCACACTAGTTAGCAGTGTCCAATCAAAAATATCCACTACAGTCCTACAGGAGGTCAATTGCGAGCCCGAATAGCTCAGTGGTACCGTCTCTGACTGACTGTATTACTCAGTGGTTGACGTGGGTTCGAATCTCAGAAGGGACATGAGTTCCTTCAAGGTTACAGATATGCCTTGCTGACGAGTGCCAACCTACACGAAACCTAGGCCCAAGGCTTCCTACCGACTGCCTCCAACTATATATATATGTATATACATTAATATATATATATATATTAAAATTGTGTTTTTCTAACTCCTCCCACTTGGGTCTAACGGATGATGTCACTTGAATGTCTTCACAGCGTGTTTTCAAACTATCTCCATTTTATTCTGCCTATTGGTTGAATAAGAGATTCTTGACAGGTTCGTTGTCTGCCACAGTTCTAAGTTGTTTATCCTTTCTGGACGGCCATCCGCTCTTCTGAATTGAGTGCATCTGGCAGGTGTCAGTGAATGTCTGCAGTAGCCTGTTGAAAATGCTTCCCGTGAGGTGCGAGCTACAGAAGCAGTAACTTGACATCAGTGTTGAAAATTCGGATCACGTTCCTTGACCTAAGTGGTTTAGATCTCAGAGTTAATGAACACGCATTTAATTACTGCTGCCTTGAAATGGTGATCGGGCTTGCACGCTGCAATGACCATCTTGGCTGCTAGGGATGTTCCAGAAGGCCCTACTAAGCAAGGAAATTTGTTGAATAGCAGCCAGACTAAGAACATTTACCACTATAGAGTAAGTTGCTTATTTTATGGTGACGGTTTGAGGGTGAAGTCATAACGTAACAGAAGTAAGACGTTCCTCTCGGTTAACCAGCCAACTGTGCTGTCTTACTGTTTTGAGGAAGTAATGGCAACGATGGGTCCCAAGAACTGTACATTTCTACTTACAATACGGAAGGAAACATCTTGTATATAAGGACGAAGCTCCAAAAACAATCATGTAACACGCATAAATTAACTACGTTTAAAACACCGAAAAACCACTCCTAGTTAACTAGCATGCTAGTTTTCTAGCCGGTCCCAAGCCCGAGTAAAGAGGGAGCGTTGGGCGTATGGCTAGCAACCCTACACCACTAAAACCTGTCAAACCGCTAGAGAAACTTCAACACAAAAAATATATTAAAAATACAAAAGATTCAAAAAAGGATCTCATTCTTCGCTGGAATCGGAGAGGCGAAATGACGCGTGGGCTGGTGAAAGCCTTCGGGAAGCCAGTTAGCCAATGTGTCTTCTCTCAATGAAAGCAAGAATAAGAATGGGGATGTAGAATGTCCGTACAATGTACGAGACTGGGAAGGCTGCCCAAGGAGCCAACGAAATGCGAAGATATGGCATACAAGTGCTGGGTATCTACGAAAGCAGATGGAACGGATGTGGATTATCCAAATTGTCAACTGGTGAGTCGGTAATCTACTCCAGTCTGGCCACCCCAACGAAAACCACGAGCACACGGAGGCAGTGAATGGCTGTCATGTGGGAACCAATCTCCTCATGCAGGATTATGACAGCAAGATTCAACTCAAAAGGAAGGAAGGTCACAGTTATTCAAAGTTACAAACTATGCTGCAAACAACGCAGAACGAGACAAGAAGGAAGACTTTTACAGACAACTTCAGACAGTAATGGACAACATCTCAAATGGTGACATCAAAATCCTCATGAGCGATATGAACGCCAAACTGGGACTTGATAATACAGGAAGAGAACTCATCATTGATCGAGAGGCTCCCACTCGGAGAAATGACTGATAACAGAGAATAATTCGCAGACTTCTGTGCTTTCAATGATTTGGCGATCGGAGGCAGCGTGTACAAACACAAGGATATACACAAAGCAACATGGGTTTCGCATGACGGACACACCACAAACCACATAGACTTCATCTCAATGCTGCTCAAAGAAGTGGAGACGCAGCCAGCCTCCTGGACACAAAGTCGAGAAGGGGAGCAGATGTGGGCTCAGACCATCATCTAGTTTAAAGAACATTCAAGGTGAAGCTGGAATCCTTCAGAACAACTGAAGACAGGACACAATTCAAGTGCAATATTCAGAAACTGAAGGACAAAACTACAAGGGATGCCTTCACTACAGATCAGATCAAAGCAAAGTAGGAGACACTACGTGGTATCAGTGAGGAAACCCGTGTGAAAGAACATTGGAACTGACTCTCTGAAGGTGATGTTCAAGGAGACGTGTTCAACTGTTCTAGAAAGAAAGAAGAGACAAGACAAAGAGTGCCTAACAACGGATACCTACCTGGAAGCTAATAGAGGGGAGAGGTGGATGGTGAAAGAGAAGATAACTCAATGCAAAGATAGACAACAGAAAGAAAAACTGAATGAAGAAGTGAAGAAGAGTGCTAGGAGAGACAAAAGAAAATTCTGCGACATACTGGGGGGCGGCATCTGAAGCAGAACAGGCCACAGGTAAAAGAGATCTCAGGACATTGTATCAAATAACCAGGTCTCTATCCGGAAAAAGATCAACCTAGATGATGAAACCAATAAAAATGCTCAAGGAAACCAGATTACCAAGGAGGAGAAACAAATAAAACAATAGGCTGACTACTTCAAAGGACTTTTGAATCCACCATCACCTGCAACCCACACAGAAATACCACCAACAGCACGCGCAGAACTGCCTGCCAGTGGACGCCAATCCTCCAACGAAAGCAGAAATCCTAAATGCGATCAAACCACTGAAGTCTATTCGGGATGGCAGCAGACCCAGACGGAATTCCCCACGAAGCACTTAAAACGGACCCAGAAATTGCGGCAGATGTTCTCACGTCATTATTACAAAATGTTTGGAAGGAAGGGAAGGTACCTACTGACTGGAAGAAAGGCTACCTCATCAAGCTGCCAAAGAAGGGTGACCTAGGCTAATGCAAGAACTGACGTAGAATCATGCTCTTGTCCACTCCAAATAAAGTAATAAATCGCATCAACTTGGAAAGAATGAAAGATGTACTGGATACAGAACTCCACCAGATAACCAGGACAAGCTGTATTCGAGAAAAGCAAACCATGTGTTGATCAAATTGCGACTCTACACATTGTCATAGAATCGCATTCAAACCCGTACCTCAACTTCGTCGACTTCGTAAAGGCCTTCGACAGTGTTGTCCGAGAAGTAATTTGAAAACTATTCCAGCACTACGGAGTGCCTCAAGTCTTTATCAACCTCATTCATCAGTTGGCTATATGACAATGCCTACCACGTGTCAGGTGATCCACAATGGGAAATTCAGCAAAGCGTTCGAAGTGGATGCAGGAGTAAGACAGGACTGTCTATTATCGCCGATGATATTCTTAATTGTGGTGGACTGGATTACGAGTCAGACTGTGAGAAGCGAGGAGACAGCAGCACGCTGGACCACCAATGAGAAGACTCTGGAAGATCTGGATTTCGCAGGTGATGTATGTCTAATATCAAACAAACTCGAAGACTTACAGGCAGGCGAAAACCAACAAACTGGCTGAGGAAGGAGTGCAGCGAAAACAGGACTCCAAGTGAACTCAGAGAAGACGGAGGTGATGAAGATAACCAACCAATCAACAGCCACAACAACAACAACAACCAGCACCAATCACCATCAACGGGAGAGATTTGACAGAGGTTACCTCCTTCACTTATATAAAAAGCATCGTTTCAACTACAGGTGGAACGGATGAAGTTGTCAAAGTCTGAATCGGAAAGGCAAGATACACCTTCATCAACCTGAAATCAGTTTGGAAATCTGCACTCAACATAAGGAACAAGATTCGGATTTTTAACACCAATCTGAAGTCGGTCCTCCTATACAGGTCAGAAACTTGCACTGCGTGTAACGAAAAGGATTCCCAACAGATTACAGACTCTCATCAACAGCTGCCTCCATTGGCTCCATACTGAAGATCAAATGGCCAGAAAGAATAACAAGAAACTGTGGGAACAAACCAACCAAGAACCGGTCACTCAACAAATATGTAGGAGAAAATGGAGATGGATCGGGCATACATTGAAGAGGCTGTCGAATAACATCTAGCGCAGTGCATTCAATCTCTCGAGTGGAATCCCAATGGGAAGGGACGAGTGGATCGTCCTAGGATGAAATGGAGGAGATGGTGTGAGAAGATGAGAGATTGTGGGCAACCGTGGTCCAAGCTGAAGAGGACGGCAGAAGATAAGACAAAGTGGAGATGTATTGTTGAAGCCCTATGTTCCACTGGGAACTCAAGGGAATAATAATAATAACAATAATAGAACACCGAAAATACCCATTGAGTCAGGGACAAAATAAAATAAAATTCGAAGAAGGAAATTTTCTTCATCGATGAAATCATCTTCAGAGGCTGTACAATCGTATTTATATTATAGTAGTCCCTTATTGAGTAGTAGGGGTGTTTGTGATATAGCTGATATAATTACTCAGAAGTGGTTTCAAAAGTAAGAAATTACGTGATACACAAAGGCACAAAGGAAGAAAGGGCTAGAAATTTAATAAGGTTAAAGTTGTTAGCGAGTGAGGAGGTAGTCGAGTGTCCACTTAACAAGTGTCAAGAGAGTGATAACAGTGAATTAATTATTAAAAATAAAAGTAAACTAATTATTTAAAAATTAAAAATTACCGGGAACGATTAATAAAGAGGTTAAGACCATAGTAGAATAAGAGTCTGGACAAACTTTATCTGTATACTAATTTCGGGGTTATACTAACTAATCGCCAGCACCTCCAACATACACAAATGCCGAGACCTAACGCCCTTTGTAACATTCGGTTTCACCTTGAAGGTAATCTTTAAGGGCGAATCTGGTGGAGCTGCGTGGCCTGAATTCACCAAGTGCTCGACAATCAAGCTAGTAATTGTCTTGCATTTTCCTCTTGCTAACCATGCCGCATAATGTTCAAATATGCGTCTCGAAAGTGTACGCTTTGTGCGGCCAATACAACTAACTTCACAGGAACAAGTGAATTTATAAACACACATTGAAGTGGCCCAAAGCAGCAGTTTATCCTTCATACATTCATTGTTCATTTGTCGACTGTATGAAGTATTACGTAATTTCTAAATTTTACTTCTGAAACCACTTCTGAGTAATTATATCAATTACGTCACACACACACACACGCCTATTACTCAATAATCGACTAGTATACATTTTTAGTAAGTATAAATACGATTGTACAGCCTCTGAAGATGATTTCACTAATAAAGAAAATCTTCGCTGAGGTATCTTTTATTTCCTCCACAACTACGTTTACCAAATGAACTCAAGTGAATAACTACAATCACTTCGCTTACTAATTTCAGTTGTAGCAAAGACGATGAAAACATGCAGTATCAGCATTTGACTCACACCTGCCAAATGAAAGATGATGAAATATGATCTCAAGTTGTGAGAGTTTAACTTATCTGGGAAATCGCTTCATCCTTAGTGGACTGATTCCCAACGAAGTCAGAACGAATAGTGAAAGTATGTTTCGTATCACACAATACGCGTCATCACTGGTGCAGTTATGATATCCGATGAACCATCAAAGGGCACACACACACATTGTGCAGTAGTTCGCTTCATCTTAACTCACAGTTGTGATACATGGAATATAAAAAAAATTAGCAGTTTTTAACTATACATTCTCCCGTTTTATGTTGAGCAATGTTGTCAGTAATAATAATAATACTAAACGTAGAAGGTCCGGTGAACAGAGAAAGTCGTTTGATGATGCTGTGAAGCCTCATCATCTAAAGTGTTTAGGATACTTATTACACATGCTGATCCAATGTCCATCAAGGCCAACAGATTTTGCGAACAGTCGCATTTAAACCTGATTTACAGTGATTACACCAAAGCAAAAGTTTCATAATATTTAAAGTGCTTTCTGGTTTAGATTTAAGAGATACCATAAAATCACACTTCAGTCTCGTTACATACTTTTAAAAAGTTCAGTAGAGACACTTGAGTGAAAGGCAGATGCCATTAGGAAATTAAATGCGCGAAGTGATGAACATAATAGAAATATGAGAAGTTAGAAATAGCTGTATAGTAGGATAATGACACTTGTGAAATACAGGAAGATATTTACTGACTGAGTAATTCTACATATGTCTCACGAGGAGCCGGACACACCTTGGTCTGAAGAAAACCCAGAACATACGTTCTCACTATGGGGTGCGACAACATGATTTCCCTGTATGAACTGCATTTTTATGTTAATTGCATCAGTTCAAGTTGCCACACTACATAGCAGTGAGAGAAAATTCCATGGGACTACAGCGAATGAAAATGTACGGTAGAAACAATGAGTGTCTTGAGAATATTTAGAATTTGATAGTTGGGAGTGCACATAGTGAATGCATTTGCACCACTGAGGATGATTTTGAGCTGTCACCAACAGTCTCCAGACATTGGTTCTGAGCTTCTCGACGATCCCAGCCAGGAAGTCTACACTTTCCTACATGGTACAAACGATTAAAGATTTCATGAACTGATGTCAAATTTTAATTTGACCACTCCTAACTTTTCTTCAAACCAAATTCTATGTCAGCTAGCCTTGCTTGACAAGGAACTCGAAGTTCGTGGATGCATACCCTGTATCTTGAGTGAGTTAAGAAACTTTCGAGTATTTTCACAAATACTAATGACAGTTACTACGAACTAGCATGTGAAGAGAAATCATTTAACTTCCAATATATATGTAACTTCATTACAAGGAGAACCATAGCTGAGAAAGAACAAAGTGAAAATACAGGTAAAGACTTCTGAATTGTCAAACTTAGAATCAGTTATGTATTGATATCCAGTAAGAAATACCGGTCCAGTCTACACATTTATTTGTCTTATTAGCTGCTGTAAGGATTTCACATGATTCAAAAGGTTGGCAATATGGCTAGGCTGTTTGGACGAAATTTTGTATCACATAATACCTACTTTGATTCAGTACACTAATCCCAAGTTACCAGTAACCACATACATTTAGCCGGGTCATGTCCCCTCCTTGATGACTGCTTCTTAATCAAACAATAAGTAGAAATACAGTATTGCAACACACGAAGGCCTTGTCAGACGTCATCGGGGGCCGCAGTTTTCCGCCTTAAACATTCAACTGCTTTGTTACGCATTCCATATACAGCAGCACAGAAAGCTTTAAGGTATCATCAGCCCTTAAGTAACAAGTATGCCTCTCCACAAGACGAATGTACATACACTCAAGATTTTGATTAACGAATCTACTAAGCTTTTGCACGAATTGCGATAATAGCTGTTTTATTTACTTAGAAGTAAGTAATGTTTACATATATGCGACAAACTATCGGTAATCATCACCTCCCACGAAATCCTGAGACTATGTGAAGTATGCACTATGACTAACCACTACGCTGTTAACTTTCAAAATGGCTCTGGTTATTAATATTCTAAAGGTATTAGAAGATAGGTAGAATAATCAAGATTTAAAAACTCCTTATTTGGTATGAGCACATCCCTGGCTACTACCCAAGCTTACTATAATGCTGGATTAAATCTTGCTAATTCTGAAATAACTCTAACATTCTATAGTGAGTAAATTCTGTTCTGAAATGGTTGCTTTAAGCGCACAGAATAGAACTCAGTGCTGGTTTTCCGCATGACTGGCACTAATTCAACACCCTGTTCTTTCTCTAGGCATTTTAGGAGTAGATCAGAACCTACTGGGTTTTGCTAGTCAGCGTTGTTTCAGTCCCCACAAGACATGTTAAGCACTGGCCACCATTACTTTAGATGCCAATCTTACTTTTAAGATTTTTTTCGCATTAATTAAGGACCCAGTGCTCTTTTTAAGCACGACCAGTGTTATTTCAGTACATAGTGGGTAGATAAAATATTCATTTACCATAAAAAGGCATTATAGACGCATAGGTTAGAATAAGTTTTGAATTGTTGTCAGCCTGGGTAGGAGTCATCACCAACAGCTGATCATGTGGATTATCAAAGCAGAAAAAATAGGTGTTCTGTACGAAAGGAACGTCGATAGGTGAGTATCGAATTAGACTATTAAAGCTTTTTTTAGTTTCCATCATTATTCCTACAATGATATCGTGTCTCTACTGTTTCGAAATAACTTGAAGACATTAATCGGCGACATATCGACTGATGTAAATGAATAATTAACATCGTAGCCGTCTTCGTAAGACAGATCGTGACTTAATTCATACTAACAGTTAGAAATCCAAACCCCTATAACAGCTTCGTCTAAAGTCTTGAGGAAAACTGCAAAAATACCTTAGGTTTTATATAAAGTGCACAACTAGTTATGTAGACCAGTTACAGTTAACAATGAGTAATAAATTACTTACCATCGGTCCTTTGTATATCTACATTTATTCCAACAGCTAGCAGGCCACCACTACAATCTGCCATTTTTCAACCGCTTGAAGAGTACCGTGAATGCAGATAATCCCCCAGGTCCATTCAACTTAAATTGAACATCACAAGGACCAAAGCGACACAACAAGAAGTGATACCATGGTGATAATAATCGAATATAATACGCGTGACATATATTTGTTATACATAGATAGTTCTTCAATATTTTTGAAGAAATCTGGGGATTATTTTTGTTACAATATGTACGTAGAGCGCGTATTTTGATAGTAATAGTTTTCGATGTCTGAAAAAGGGTCTAAGTGACCTAGAGGTTCCCACATCAATTGTTTACTTTCCCTTTTATTATCCACCTCAGTGTTTATTTGGAAATCTAGTGAAAATTATTCTGATCCCTTACAAAACTAAAAGAAACTGTCTGTGGGACTTTGAGCCCAGGTTTCGAGGCTTGATTCCCGTTGCCCATCTGTATTTCTTCACTGAACCTGGGATTCTCTTGTTTTCTCATTCTAAGTGATGGCATTTTTTCGCTAAAACATGTGTATACCTTTCGTAGTTAACCTTAGGGTGACTGGAAATACCTAAATTCGTCCTAACTTCCATCTAAACAGATAGTTGAAGGTGAATAAAGCTAAGCATACAAGTAGATTTATAAGGTAGTGAAAGATGTTGAATATATAAACAGGAATTTCTGTACAAGGGCTACTCTATGTGTATTCAGGCAGGAGCACATACGCCTACACGTTTATCCAGTCCTGGAGGGTACCACAGATATTTGCACTACTGCATACTAAGTGAGTGCATTTCGCAGGGCACAAAACACTCAAAGAATGGAAATTAGACTTGATTTCAGTATTATCTGCCGTCTTTAGTTTTAGCGGTATACAAATAATCAACCTCAGTGTGATCCTTATTTGATATTTTCCTCTAACCGTCAATGTGCGTCGGTGGCACAGTGGTTAGGACTCTCGCCGACCATGCACATGGTCCGGGGTTCGATCCCCTGCCGGCGCACACCCGATATCTATGGTCGGCCTGAATTTGGGCTACCGATATCCATGCTGAAAATTCCATACTTGTACCGAAAATACGGTGTGGAATCAAGCTGTAAATCAAAATAAATTAAAAATTAAAAAAAATAAGTGAATATGATTAATTTTATGTTCCTGAGAACTAATGACAAACGCAGAGACTTCTGTGTCCGAAGACGACCAGTTGCAGATTTTAATTTTAATAACTGTTCCAGTTCTCCTGTCAATTTGTGAAGCTGTCCTAACGTTTTCATATGGAAGAGACTCCAAGGGCCACATTGAACACAATCGTTCCAATCTGTGCTGTGCCAGATGTTTACTGCAGGAACTTGTGATAATTATTTTTTATTACAGCTTGATGCCACACCGTATTTTCAGTACAAGTATGGAATTTTCAGCATGGATATCGGTAGCCCAAATTTTGCAGGCCGACCATAGATATCGGGTGTGCGTCGGCAGGGGATCGAACCCCGGACCATGTACATGGCCGGCGAGAGTCCTAACCATAGTGCAACCGACGCACAGTCTTGTTTTATCATGTTTGTTGCCACGGTGGAAAACCCAAAAAACCCCAACATGGTTCTAGGTGCTCGTTGAGAATAATGTAAGCTGACTAGCAAGTACCTATTTTGACCTTTGTTAATAAAAATCATAAGAAACCAGAAATTTGAAAGGGGTTCAGCTGGCCATTTTTGGCTCTCAGCTGTAAAGGTGGGTAGGGGTCAACACTAAGGCTGGAATCAAACTGTCACTGTTCTAGGAGAAAACCCCAGGTAGACTGTTATCGGTGTTGCTGAACATGGAATAGATATCCAGTGGCCTTGTTTATTCGAATTGGAAGCAACAGTTCCTCCAGAGGCTTGCTCCCTTACAGGGGAATAATATTATGTATATTCCTGTCTATGCAGTGAAACCAACTCCACAGCAACGCGCAGATTTTTATCTAAATTACATAAATCTGGTTTGTGTTGAATTTCCATGGTCACTGTCCTTTTCAGCTCTCGTTTGTGGGGGCGATCTACTAACGTGTCAGTCAATGTAGCACAATAAGAAATATAGAATTATTACATGTGGAAAATGAGACTTGGACCTACTCCTCGCATGCAACTTTGTCTTGAACGTCATCGAATCTTATTCTTGATTTCTTTTCCGATGATGTATTTATCTTAAGTGGGTAATATATTTGCGTCATTTTCCCAGCAGCGTCATCGTGGGATACTATCAGAAGCTAACTTTATTTGATGCAGACGAATATCGGACATAGCAATGCGGATCCGTTTTACTGCATTAAGTGGATGATAGTCCCCCAAAGTCTGCCATTACCGTCATTTGTAGCTGCGTGGCATTCGGGACACGCAAATTGCTTCAGCCATAGTAAACCTTCTGAGAACCGATTGCATCTTTACTTCAGATCATATATACTGCTAGTACAGAATGCTATTCAGCGTCCAGATATGGTGACATGGGAGACTTCAAGGATGTTGAGTTACTATGAGCCAACAGCTTGAAGAATGATGCTGTATACTTACGTAAGTGGCTTCAGGTCCTGTTGAACTTCAGTCTTGCTATACATATATGCTGACACTCTCTGAGTCATTTTATACATCTGTACAATTAGTCTTTTTATCGCTTATGCAGGATAATTAGCGAAGTTTTACGCGTTCTTTAAACATTCCATTGTTTTAAAATTTGATTCGTTCTAGAAACGAATAGTGCATTCTTATTGTTTGTGATGTCACTAGAATGCAACAGCTGTTGAGAAACCGTCTGCACATCCTAACGGAGTTGCAGGTTCTGATTCGTGTAAGTACACCGTTTCACATTTTAGAACATATTACTGTAAAGAACTTCTTACTGAGTGATGAGTTAAAGGCTTTTATTGTCACTGTGCATGTTTGGTTACACAGGTCGTAACAGCCTTCCTGTGGGAATTGTATGTATTTACTGTCTAAGGACGATATTTTGTGCCAGACGTTAAAGGAAAATATTGGGTTTATGCTGGGTAGTCTCGTCCAGAGTGGGTCAAGACTTAGAGATAAACACCGTGAAATGTAGTCTTTCCCACAATCACATCCAAGTAGTTTGGATGTGAAATGTCGTTGGACATTTTCCATTCTGAGATTGTCACATATGCGAGTGCTGCTAAGAATAAGTGGACAGTATTCTAGTGGTGGCATTACATATGTTTTGTACAGTATGAGATCGGCTTCGCTTTCGTGAAGGTTCTTGAGTATGCATCCTAAGAGAATCCTCGACTTTCGAGTCTGTGATGCAACTTGCTCTGAAAACAGTTAGTCATTAGACTACCTGAGGTCTGAGTAAGTGACACTTCGAAGTCTAGGTAGATTGGCAGATTTAAGTGTTAGTGTAACGTCAACTGAGAGGGGCGAACTACATTTTCTGAGGTTGAGCTTTAGGTTACAGGATGATGACCACGCAGTCACTGTATCGATTTGTTTCTGGACGACATTCTGAAAGTATCCTAAGCCTTTACTCTTGAATGTACTACCTACTTTAATTTCACCTGCAATAATGAACGTTTTATCTGTTGAGAAACAAGTGCACATGTCGTCAATATCTGTTGTGAATACGAGAGGTTCTAGGACGCGACCATGTACTACAACAGAAGTGATTGTACTAGGTTTGGGAGTCACAGACCAAAGTCTTACTTTTTGGGACCTGTTGTTAAGGAATTATTTCAGCCATCCCGATAGTGGGTCACATATTCCTGAGGAATGCGGCTTATTTTTTAGCAGCAAATGGGAGACGCTGTCAAATGACTAAGAGATGTCAAAGCAGGTGGTGAGAACCAGTTGTCATCTGTCAGAGTTGCTGGTCACAAAGTTAAAGAAATCAAGGTAAATAGGTTAAACGTGATGGGGACTTTAGGAACCCATGCTGGTTTGAAACAACAATACTGCAGCTAGACATACGCTTAAGGATGTTACCTTTAATTAGTCCTTCCATAATTTTAGATGCTAAGGATTTGACGCTGATTGGCCTGTGGTCGTTGACTTCGGTTTACGAGCCGCATTGATGTTTGGGTATGATAAACGTCGTTTTCCAGATATCCGGGTAAGTTTGAGTTTCTAAGGATATTGCGTAGGTTTCAAGCAGTCATATGGGAATGTCAGGACCACCATATTTATGGAAATACTATGATTTTCCGTCAGTGCCAACACCTTTAGAGCTTTTAGGAGTTCTAATGGCTTGGCTAATGTTAGTATAAGTAAACTCAACCGTTGGTGTTGATAAAGATGGAAGTTGAATCATATCAGTAGGCAGTTTTGTGGAATAATTTTCACATTTCTGCAGAGCCACTCTATAGCCTACCCTTGTCGATGAGGAGAGAAGTCCTGTGGTTTTTGCGTTTCAATAGTTTATTTAGGATTTCTGCGAGAGCATACACTCCGGCGGGGCTGGGTGTTACTAATATTAATGAAGAAGAGTTAAATAAGTCTTTACACTACTGTAATCATAACGTCAGTGAAATGAGAGCTAGCCCTTCGAGTAGTCCTACACCTGAAAAATCTTCACTGGAGAGACACAACAGACACTATTTCTCTGGGCACCCTATAACTAAGTAGAAAGCCTACTGATAGGCATACACCTATGCCAACACAACTTCCCTATCCGTGGCCAGAATACGCGGAAATTTGATCCAAGCACCCCTACTGTTAGGTTTCTTTTTTGGAGGTGGCCCTCCGACTCACCACATCCCTAAAAACCCCCAGATACAAACTATACAAGATCAGCTACGGAATAATAGTTGCGAAAATAACTTACACGAAATGTCAGCTGTAACTGCAACGCATATAACTTTGCTCCGGTATACTCTCCCTTCCTCCCCTTCATCCAGTCTGCACTTTACCAGCCAATTTGAAATCTCAGCCCCAATATTGACACAGCATGCACAATGTCAAGCCACCTTCCCTAGAAGGGAAGGCAGCGTATTCCAGTCACGGTGTTATGAACACTGTACATCCCCAGAGGTAACCAACGGCG